TGTTAATGTCAAATATCTATCTGTCTCTTTATGAACCCTGGATGTGATACATGGAAAATACCAAAAATCGGAATAATTTAAATGTGGTGAATGATTGGGATTCAAACAGTTTTCTAAATCAGAAAATTCCTGTAGGGAATAGCTCATATTCAGCACACAACTACTTTTTAACCCTAGATCAATAATGTAACTTTATCAGCTCAAATATAATGTAAACAGTATTTATTTCACACGTTGTAAATTGACAGCACACCTGTCTTCTGCTTGTTTATGTTGCTGGTCTAAATGTAACATGACCAGACACGTGATATCCTTGTCCAAATTTAAAACTTTGGAAACAAGTAAGGGCCATTTCTTATAGAAAACTTAATGCTTTTTGAGAACTTCCGTCAATTTGTACCTGATGAGGTTCGAGTTAGTGCCTCATTGATAAATACAACCTGGACACATCAATGTACCCACCGTACATGTCAGCACAGAACACATTTACGTTTCTGCAAGCCAGTTCGTGGTGTTTGTCGACATTCTGAGGCTTGGTGCCCGTTACGATGAGCCTGAAGAATAACTCCCTGCATAATACTTGTATATAAGCTGAATATTTGTGACTTTTCATCGTTTTTAGAAGTATTAAAACATAATATGAACGTTTCATGGACACGAATACCATAAAATTATTTGGGACTGCTCTAGTCTAACTCTGAATTTGACACAAGAGATCGTCCATACAAGTCATCCTGTTTACGCAACAAGCCTGAGTGAGCCAATCATACAATCGAACTTGTGTAACGTAGCTTTCTGGGACACATGTGTTGACAGTGAGAGGGCGGCCATGCTGCGATTGTGAAAAGCAGTAAAATACCTGGATTTCGGGAATGTTTGACATAAATAAACAAGTTTAGAGGTAGGAGATTTGAAAATAAGATTATATGAATATTACTTTGAAACTTCAGTTCTTAAGTGATCGAACTTCCATGACAAGAGGATAGTATTCCAGACAAAACACAACCTCCATTGCCTGTTTCACCAAAATGTGGGCACGGGGCTTCACCTGTCGTAGGTTAATATTAACGTATAGGAGGTAGTGCTAACACTGCTTTGCTTCAGGAAGGGTGAGACTGTGGAAGGTGATTAAAAAAATTCTTTAAACATGCTTAAAGAAGCATACGCTATCCTAGAATACTATTAAACTTCATTGACAGTGATTAGCATATTCAACACGATTGGAAACGTTCCTAAATAGGGATTTCATGTTTTTGAATAGTTGAAACTGTTGAGAACGTTCGGCATGCAGTATCAGAAAACAGTGCGATACATGTATGAGTGGTTATACCAAGCTCTCAGATATTGTCAGTCCTGAAATAGGGCAGTTGTTATCATTATCATATACATCTGGCTTTCATACCAAGTTATCTATGGTGTAGTATGTGTGCTTTCCTTATCTATACTTTATGAAGACAGGTAGTGTTACGGAATCAATAAATAACCATCACTGTGTCGTGCTTGACATTATACTCAAGTTCTTGCATATCCTGGTAGGAAACTAAAACATCCCAACATGAGATGTACCATTGTTCACTTGTTTTAGTGGTTATCTATGTGATTATATATGCCTGTTCATCAGTCATGACCCACAGTCATGTCCAGGGTTTGTTGTTGGGTAAGCTGACAATTGGTTAGTTCAGTTGTCGGGGGTAGGTGCCTGGTGAAACTTGGCTGTCTCTGGCCACAGGAATGAGCAGTTCCTGATAGATTTCATGGTACACCTACCGAAGACCGGATACCTACCAGCCATATTGTTTAGTGTCATGTCACCCTAACCCTAACCCTAAACCTAAACCTAAACCTAAACCTTACCCTTACCCTTACCTTAACCCTAACCCTAACCCTAAACCTTACCCTAACTTAAACCCTAAACTTAAACCTTACCCTAACCTAGGTAAATTCGCATGCTTTCAAAGATGGCGGAAGGTATCCGGTATTCTGTAGTCCTACCTGTTTCATCACCATGACCACCTGTTGCCCAGTGTAGAGCAAGTAGAAGCATACTGCTGTCTATGAACAAGAGCATGAACACTGTTGCTCTTACTCTGCCAGGTTCATCCGGGAATCACCCCACAAGATACCATTCACACTGAAAACCCTAGATTCACATCAGTTCCTGTTGTCGGTTATGGTATTGTGAGTTCAACCAGGTTATGAAGCACTCTATCTTAGCCAGCCTGTTTCCGACTTCTGACATAACTTGCAACTGTTGCTACTGAAACCATCTCCGGGAACAATAACCATCAACACAGAACACGTTTTCACGGGTTGGCCTTGCCAACAAGGGGCTTGGGTCACATGATCATTTTGATACAGGGCTCAATTTAAGCATGTAGAAACTTCACTGGTTGCAGCCTGAAACTGCTAAAAGCAACCTCATATTTATACCAACCTGCTCCCAGTGCATGTGAATATTTTGTTGTTCAAAGAACACAGACTTCAGCTGGAAAAGAGTATGATGAGAAAGTGGCTTGAGGCAGTGACTGATGACTACACGGACAGTCATTCAATGACTAGTTGTGTTCATGTCATGAAATTTTAATCAATTACGATCTTATCAGACCAAGAATTTCGTTAAAAGATGCTCTAAATCATCAATACCAAAACTCAAGGATTATATATAATTTAACATGGAGGAGCAGGTGCAACCTGTTTTTGTATGGGGTACCAAAGTTATCCCTCAAGGTTGCACCAGGTGCAAGTAGCTCTCATTCCCTTAAATCAAGCCCTGATTTTGAGTTTCTGTGGTGGATTGTGTAGATGCATTAAGATGTAAAAATCATTGTTCCGGTTTAGATATTTTTAAAGTACTGTGTCATTCCTTGTTAAGGTTTGAAAGTTGTTGATTGCTGGGCAGTACACACTGTGTCTATAAGGACCTTAGTTGAGCAGCATGTCTCCTGTTTGATAACTGTGTTTGGGTTGGAAATTATGTGTGTATGATGATCAGAGGTTGAATGTCATATTTTGTTTCTATAATCATGATAATGATCTGAGGTTAGTAGGACAATATGTATTTGTAATAACTAGGGGTGTCGCGATACGCGAATGTATCGATGCATCGATACATTTTTACTGACGATACGATACGCGATACATGCTTGCGTGTATCGATTCTTATTTTAAAACTTTTTCGATTCAGATTTTTATGCTATATCCATCTCCTTCAAAGTCTTGATAGTAAAATTATACGAGACCGCTCTGATAAATAGATGTAGCTAGCTTTACTTAAAAAATAGGTTGGAAACTAACAGCTTTTGTGATTGGCTAGACTATTTTGATGGACCAATCAGCGAGCGCGTACGTTGCCGGTAAGGTAATGCTATGAAAAGGTGCGAAAATTGTGTATCGCGATACGTATCATATCGTGACCTTAAAATCGTGATACGTATCGTATCGTGAGATTTGGTGTATCGTGACACCCCTAGTAATAACCTGAGATATGTTGGACATTTAGCTAGCAAATGCTTACCATAAGAGATAACTGCTCTATGGTTTTTAGCATCTTTCCCTGGCACCATGTGACATTCTGTGGGATATCAATGACAGGTTTATCCAGTGCAGACTTGCAGCCTACACATTGCGGAGTGCTAGTGTAATACAAAGGAAACAATATACAATAGACAACTTATACTTTGCCTGCACTTCATGTTACATTTCTGCTTGACAACGGTACTGGAATCTGTATCGAAACATCACACTCTCGTAATAAAGAAGTTGTTATCCATAAAGTTTGTCAATTTTGTGGTCTCACCTTAGGCAAGTGAGTTTGTTCAAAATTGTCTCTGTTCACCCGGCAGGAAAATGGGTACCCGGTGGAAAAAGTCATATGACTATAACCTTCTAGTGCCTAACAGGCAGCTTGGGTTATCCGGGGTAATAATGTGCTGTGCCTTGATTGTTAGTGCTATTTCCGAACGTGGCACATAGATTGGTCTATTTTTGTACTGGTGCCTTTTGGTAGTTTGGGTATTCTGAATAAAATATTTTTGGCATTTCCATGGCAACGAGTTTGACTTAGATTGAAATTGGTGGTTGTGCTCCTTTCTGGAGCAGAACTTTTAAAACCTTTCAATACTCTCCTCCCACTTTTCTATATACACACCAAAACATTTGACATAATCATAACTCGTAGACATATTCATGAAGAGTATTTTGCCATTGCAGGGGATATTGATGACTTTGTCTTGTTAATACTGACATAAACTGGTGGTTTTAAACAAGTGACCTTATAGAGTTATCCCCCTTGAATACACTGCTTCAGAGCATGTTTTCTGGGCTTTTTTCAAGATACATTATTTCACACACCGTCAGAGTTTGTAGCCAGTCCTCCTTAAATGTTTACAAATATTGTCAGATTTGATTTGTTCCAATTTGAAGCCAAGTTGAGCACCTGGGACTGGTTCAGAATGACAGCCTAGAAGTGCAGCTTGTCAATTAGGACAACCATCTCTGAAGTTTCACTTGTCATCAGCCGATATAAGTTACTTAGTCTCGGTTCACTGGACTAGCATGAATTTCAAAGGCTGACTGCATAAATAACCCTGTATTTATGTCATAAATGCTCTTTGGGAGCTTAATGAATGACATGACATTTCAAAGCAACAGGATCTTCCTTGAAGCGCTGTATTTTTAACTGAAGCCTCAGGTTAAAATCAACTCATCACTTCGCAACATTATTACATGCAGACGTGGATTGGGACGGTTGTATTTCTTGACAGACTTAATAGACAGAATGGATATCAAACCATGGGGTACCTTCATGCGTGTTCAAGACTTCTAACTACAGAAGCTGTTGGTCCTGGTTTCTAACATGTGATGTAATGGTTTCAACAGGACATCCTCTTTGGTGTGACCATTATGAAGAGAATACTTCATTCAATAAGGAAACTGAGTCAAACCATGATACATCTGTTGTATGACATTTTGACCCGCTTTCATCATCTGCCATACTGCAGGAAAAGCCACTTGTATCGGTTGCCGGTGTTTGATCGAGATGGACGTGCGGGTGTAGCATATGACTCAGGCTCAAGGTGTTGGAGCAGGTAGGAGATGAGATTAGCATCCCGGATTTCACTGTGGCATGTGGTCAGAGGGCTTGTGATTTGGTGTCCAGGTTTGGAATATTGGTCTTTTTTATCTTTTTGTATTTTTTGTTTAATTCGATTTGTAATGTTTTTACACATGTTGACTTGACGTGCAGTTCAGGTTTCAGCATATATTTGTTATCAGTGGTTTTATGGTTATTGGTTATTCTGATAATTATGAACATATGTCACAGAAGAGGTTCTGTAAGTTTCTGATTAATTTATTTTCTCTTTTGATTCAAGTGGGCTTCGTGTTATGACATTTCTCCAAGTTTACTTTTTTTTAAATGTTCCCAGGCAGGTGTTGAAGGTATTTTCAATCTTTGCTTTCCTTTTCTTGAAGTCTTGTAATGAACCATTATCTTTTGGCATAATAGTGCTTAAGTGACAGAAAGAATGTTAGACTCTCAAAGTTTCAGTACATTAAGCTGTAGACTGAACTGGTAAAATGAATGTGCTTCTCTAATATTCCAGAAGTATGTATTTGTTTTTAATGAAATCCTTCAAAATGTTCCTGATCCACATTTACTTTGTAAGGGGATTATCATAACATTGAAGTTGCCACTGTGACTAGGAACTGAACTTGGCTCGAGGGCTAGAAAAACATCTGACATCAGCTATGAGAGGGCACAGGTCTTCTATGATTCATTGTCAAAGATCTTTTAAAGTCTTTCATTTGTGCTTGGTAAATTTGTCAGATTAATAGCTTTCTCATCATTCTTACTCAATGAAATATTTTGAAAAGAAACATCAGGTTTACATTTTGCTTCAATGGTATATTTGGTTTATATTTTTACGAATTCTTTAATATGGTAACCATGGTGATGGTTTGGGGATGTGGTAAAGTGTAAACCTTTTTCTTTGTGACCATTTCGTGATGCACTTTATATTTTATTGGTTAAATTACTTTGATTAGTATTCAATTATATTATTTCAATAATTTTTAAACTATACAGAGTTTCATGTATAGTCATGATGAGAAAATCTGTACAAACAAACTAGATCATAAATGTGATTAAATAAAAATGGTTAAATTTGGTTCCAATTGTTATACAGATTTATTTTGTTTTCTGGTCTTGACGTCTGCTTTACAAGCACAATATTGTCCCCTGAGGCAGAAATCCCTATCTCTCAAACAAGTGTTCAATGTTGGGTCATTTAATAGACAGGGCCAACTGAGGTTGTTATCTGATGTAGTCCCTGTTATCTGACATACGCCCTTACTCAGTACGCCAAGAAGAAGATGTAAAGCATTCATCTGATGACGGAGAAAGAAACATTGTGTTCTGCGTAATAAAGAAGTTGACATCCACAAAACCTTCTTCCTTCTGTCCACATGGGCACAATGCGTGAAGCCCATTTCTGGTGTCCCCTGCCGTGATGTTGCTGGAATATTGCTAAAAGCGGCATAAAACCAAACTCAGTCAGTCAGTCTTCCTTCTGTGTATCACTTCTAAATCATATCATTCAAAGACCGAATATATAAAGCAGCAATAAGATGAACATAGGGAAGATTTAAGGATTGTTTTTAGGTCTTCCTTGGTAATTCCACTCCAACAAAATTGTTACATATTTTCGCAGAAATAATTAGGGTATGCTCATGTTTAAGCATGACAATAAGATAGTGTTCTTCTCTAATAATCAAGATCATAATGCACTCTGAAAGTCAAAGGTCATGCCCTTCAAGGTCACGGTGTACAGTCACCTGGCTTCTTACACTTACAGCCAGGGCTTATGAGCGGAAGCTAGTAGGTAATATAGCTAATGCTTATGAATTAATCTACAAGTGTATGTTTATATGCTTATATAACATGATCCTGAAAAGTTTCTGTCATAGTTTAATTCAGTCACCCATGCTAACACGTTGGTACCAGTGACACATTATGTAGAAGGTTATATCTGATACTAAATCCTTTCTGAACCACTGAAGTCTGAATTGTGTGGTGCATCCATGTGGTGGAGGGTTGTGTATGGATTTGATTGGACAATGCCTGAGGTGTACACTGGATCAGTGACCAGCTGGCACCATTAACTCATGTGCATGGAGTCTGTGCTGGACAGACAGTAATTGTACTTCAGCAACACCCACCTGCAGCAGACAAGGTTGGAATACATCATGTTTGGGGATGTTTTAGCTTTGATGTTTAAATTTTGGACAGTTAATGTATTAATGAATTTTGTGCCAAGTTTTACTAATTTATTGTAAGTATCTGGTTATTTCATGGTATGCTTGTGAGAGGTACTTCTTTCATTTGTGTAGGTATAATAAGAATTAACCAAGAATGAATAATCCTGAAAAATAACATATCACAATACCTATCATAAGGTTTGAGATTGTACTAGTACTTAGGACACCTTGATCTTTGACAGAACTGGTTAGGTCGAGAGGTTGAGTTCATATTTTCATCTCTGAAGACAGACCTGCTGAGATGTTTGACATTAACATTGTCAAGACCTGTTAATGGGGTTCAGTTTTGAAATGTACAACCAAGGTTTTACAGATTAATTGTATAATCTGATTTTTAATGTGTATCCAATGTTGATGTTTGACTGGTTAAAAGTACAATTTGGTTAACATGACAGTTCCATGACATGAACTCAACTTGCAGTCTCACATGTCATGTTAAGTATATGTTATAACCCCTGTTTTCCCTTTGATCCGCCTTCAGTTGTCAATGGTCGTTTCCCGCCAGCTATCATCAAATTTCTTTTATACTGTGACTATGTTATTGTTTCATTGTAAAGTTTCCCTTGTATTTCATTGTGTTTGGTTACAGTGTACAGGTTGTTTTGAAACACTTCTCCTTAATTCCCTTACCCTCGTGTTTACATCTTCAACCTCTGGGATGTGTATTATCCTATCATGTATATACTGGCATTGAGTGAGTGAGTTAAAATTTAAAGTCACATCGGCAATATTTCAGCCATATCGTGACTAAAACTAGTTCTAAATTTATAATACATACAGATTATATAAAACCATGTCAACGAAGGACAGTAAAACCAATAGATTATCACAGATTGAGTTAAAACTAGCTAGCATATAACTTTAAAAGTAGAAAACTATTTTTGGACAATACAATGTAAAAATGGGCTAGTAATCGCCAACAACTGAAGGTAGACCACCATACTAGGGACCATGGGGACTGACAGTGCCTTTGCTACTTACATTTACACCATCCCTTCAGCCATTGGCGTTTATGCTGAGATTTAGCCATACATTAAAAACACAAAAATATTACGATTAAAAACCTGGTACACTTGAATTAACTAATGGTTTTGGGCATTTACTGGCATTGATAAACTGATCAAGTTTATCGTCATCAAGATGTTGTTCATGGTAAGCAATTTATTTTGACATACATTTCGCTTGTTCTGGGTCAGGATTGAATAGTATGGGGATCTTGTTGAAATGAAGCGGAAGGTTTTATAACACTTGTCAGAGAGGTACACAAACTACCAGTCTACCACTACCAGTTGTCGAACTCCCATATTTTTTTTATAAGCTGCGACGGCTAAGTTGGTTAGATCACTGACTTTGTGTGCTGGTGATTAGGTGCCTGCCTCTGACAGCGTGGGTTCAAATCCCAGATAGGATTCAACCCCCAAAAGTACGAGGATCTATACTTTATTAAGAATGTGTATTCCACATATAACATATGTTACAGAAGGTTTTACAGTTGTCAAAGATTGTTCTGTACACAGATTACAGTGTAGGAGCCTCTGTGTTATTCCCAATAGTATCACAAACAGTTGATACCAACATTAGAGCTAGAATTGTTTCATGCTTCAAGGAAAATTTGCTCACATGCGCAGCCCTGTCTTCATCAGCTGTTGGACATCAACAAATACAACTTCAATCCTTTTATTGACAGTTACATGTATTATAACATAACAATCCATTGTAACACCAAACATAATGATTTAAAGCGAAGCAGAGAGTTGCTTTTGTCACGATGTCATCCACCCAAACATTCCACATGGAGTTAGTTGTTTTGACATACACGATGTCATCCACCCAAACATCCCACATGGAGTTACATACCTTGGTGTTACAAACATTACGAAATGGCAGCTTCAATGACTTCAAATGGGAGTTTCACGCAGTAAAGATATAACTGGAATGCAATCCAGGCCCGGATGATGCAGAAAATGCATTAGTATAAATGTACTGTGAACTTTTGGTGCCAGTTTGAAGACTAGATGAGCTGCTGAAGATGTACAATTGAATTTTTTTTATTGTGATTTTGTTTCCCATTGTATTAACTTGAAACTCATTCCATTCCTAACATTTTAACTCCTCACTTCTAACCAACCTCAATATTCACAATAGTCTTGTTATTTATATCTTATACAACATCAACATATTTCAATGAATATATTACTGCTAAATGTTGATATAGAGAAATATGATAGGGAATGTTACCATGGTTACTGTATGCTTTCTAATGACAGTTATGTATTTGTCCAGCCAATTATGATATAGTTCTATGTATGTAAATGAAATCAGTAGTATATGCATGCTGTCCAAGCAATAATAACATTGTAATAATTGTTGAACTATATTATATATGCTGTAGGTTCTTTGTTTATATGAAATAATTTTCATACGTTCAGTTGTTTTCTTTAGAAATATCTAACATATTTAACATGTTTATTGTATGACCCAGCGTTACAGCAGTAAAACAACTGTGAAATGTTATGTAGACTTCGCTCTGGGCAAACCATACCAATGTATCAAGTTAAACATTTGATATTTAAATGGACATTATTAAACGAATTACTTCATGTTTTCATCTTTGAGCATTGTTAAGTATAGTTGTTAGGAATACACTTTGAATGTTGATATGACACAGACAGCATTATTCCTATGAATGCTAAGCATGGAGTTTTGTCGTTTCAGCATGGCGTACTTGGGATTAGGGTTTGTGTTTCTGGTGATTGCGCCCTACCTTGTCTACAGCCAGGCCAGTGGTGTCGCAGACGAACAGACCGCCTCCCATCAAGTCAATCAGTGGACAGACTTCTGGCTGTTCCGCCTTGGGGTCAATGTCCTGGGATATGCAACCATCTTTGTCCCAGGAGCTCTCCTTATCAACTATTTGACGGAAGAGCAAGTACAATGAAACAGCAGGTAGGCAAAGATAGAAGTTGAATACTTTTCCCCCATAGTTACCTTTAGGGCTGCGCAATATAACTGGTTTACCGGTATTTACCGGTTCAGACATTGAAACCATACGTATTGCGATACGCTGATCGAAAACCGGTATTTTGACATACATTCGGAAAACTTCGTAACACTCGGAAATCTTCGGATATTTCCGTTTTTTAAATTGTTCCTTTCCTTGTTTCATTTGTGCCAAAAATTATTTACATTTATATTTTGCCATGATTAAAAGTTTTCTTAAAGCCTAATCAAGCATTGTGATTTTGTTGTGTTTTTGCTTTACAAATCAAGCATTAACTCGACTATAAATATTTTTTGTGTTAAAAATAATTCTTGCAATATATTGCAATACATGCTTTGCATGCTTTCGCATCGCAATATATCGCAATACGAAAATTCCCTGCAATACCCACCCCTAGTTACCTTAATATACAAGTCAGCTGTCTTCAGCAAGTTGCGCTTACCAGAAATATGGCAGCTCAACTCTGAATTCACTCTGCTAGCTATGCTGCTTAGCATGACGAGTAATATCGGTAGTTGTTACAAAAGTGGACAATGTCCATAACCTTCAACTGCCTTGTCTTTCTTCTACATAATACTGACTAGCAGACAACTGAAATAATAATCAAAATATAATGTCAACATTTTGGGCGGATCATTTGTTGCTGTAGAAACAAACAAAAATCATTTTCTCTTGGTCACATTAGAAAATATTTTTGAGAGGATGACCGAAAAATATTTCAACAGTGTCCTAGTATTGTTTCTAATCCTACCCATTGTATCCTGCAGGGCCTGGCTGCTTGTCCAACTTCGCTGTATTATGTGTGTTTGGGAAGGAGCATGAGAAGGCCAGTTTGGAGGAAGGCCAACCATCTCAGGACAAGTCCGACTCTGGTAGCTCATCACCAAGTTCTCAGGGTGTGAAGCTGCTGTTTTGCTTTGCTGGACTCCAGTTTTCCTACCTGACATGGGGCTTGCTGCAAGAGCGCATCATGACCTTCCAGTACGGCAAGACTGAAACCGTGGAAGGAGAGTACTTCAAGAATTCAACATTTCTCGTGTTTGTCAACAGAATTTTAGCCTTCATGATTGCAATTCTGGTGATATTCTTTAAGAAGCAGCCTCCTCATACAGCCCCTCTGTACAAATACTCCTACAGCTCGTTCTCCAACATCATGAGCAGCTGGTTCCAGTATGAGGCTCTCAAGTATGTCAGCTTCCCCACACAGGTCCTAGCAAAGGCATCCAAGGTCATACCAGTGATGCTGATGGGGAAGGTTGTACAGAAGAAAACATTTGAGTACCACGAATACTTCACAGCGGGTTTGATCTCAGTGGGCGTCAGCATGTTCCTTCTCACTAGTGGAGATGCCACACGAGACAAAGGAACAGTGACAACCTTCTCAGGCATTATCCTACTGGTCGGTTATATGCTGTTTGATAGTTTCACCTCCAACTGGCAGGGGGCGCTGTTCACCCAACACAAGATGTCCTCCATACAGATGATGGCTGGTGTGAATATGTTCTCCTGTCTCCTAACAACTGTGGCTCTGATTGAACAAGGAGGGTTCCTGGAGTCCTCGAGCTTCATGATCCGCCATCCTGACTTTATATTCCACTCAGTTGTCCTCAGCATCTGCTCAGCTTGTGGACAGCTCTTCATCTTCTACACCATCGCTAGCTTTGGTGCTGTGACATTTGTGATCATCATGACAGTGCGTCAAGGCTTGGCTATCCTACTCTCTTGCATGATCTATGGCCACCCTGTCACAATTTTAGGAGCATTTGGTATTGGTACAGTTTTCGTGGCTCTATTCCTACGTATTTATGCAAACAAGAGAAAGCGGGATATGAAAAAAGCACAGGCTTCTCAATCACAACAGTCAGGAGCTGTCACAAAAGTATGATGCAGATGATGACTGTCACAGGAGGAATCCAATAATACTGAAGCCTGTGTCAGGACAATGTTGGGATGTGTGTATGCCCGAAGTTATACTGGGCAGGGTGCATGTGTCTGGGAGGTAAGAATATCATGTGGGAATCTGTATTGGAGTATAATCTTTGTTGAAACCCTGTACAATACTTTGCCTACTGGGTTAAGGATCAAAGCTTAATTTATTTCCTTTAACCTTATGGACAAGAATACTCAGGACATGAGGTGGTGGTGCTTGTAGTAGGTGAACTCAAGTTAAGCTTATCTACATGATCTGTCTCTTCTCACAACCATTTTAACTGCTGCACTAGTCATAAATATGGGGTTGGAATCTTTCAATGAAACCTGATTCAGTAGTGATTATCTTTGTGTTTGGAATTCACAAATATTTAACCATGGAACCTAAAAGGTTGGGCAAGGGCATAGTCACAAATTAGGGGATGTAGAAGAGACTTAGTGATATGATGTATTACCTGTAGTGATGTGTGGGTGAGCAGTGTCATGTGTTGGTCGGCTGTGTCCTGTGTTGATCAGCTGTGTCACATTGGTCAGCTGTGTCATGTGTTAGTCGGCTGTATCATGTGTTGATCAACCATGTTTTGTGTTTGCTAGCTGTGTCATGTTGATCAGCTGTGTCATGTGTTGGGCGGCTGTGTCATGTGTTGATCAGCGTTGTCATGTGTCGATCAGCTGTGTCATGTGTCGATCAGCTGTGTCATATGTCGATCAGCTTTGTCATGTATTGATCATCTGTGTCATGTCGATCAGCTGTGTCATATATTGGTCTGCTGTGTCATGTGTCGATCAGCTGTGTCATATATTGGTCTGCTGTGTCACGTGTCGATCAGCTGTGCCATGTGTTGGGCAGCTGTGTCATTTGTTGGTTGGCTGTGTCGTGTTGATCAGCTTTGTCATGTGTTGGTCACCTATGTCATGTGTCGATCAGCAGTGTCATGTATCGATCAGACGTGTCATGTGTTGGTCGGCCGTGTCATGTGTTGGTCGGCCGTGTCATGTGTTGGTCGGCCGTGTCATGTGTTGATCAGCTGTTTCATGTGTTGATAAGCTGTGTCATGTGTTGATCAGCTGTTTCATGTGTTGATCAGCTGTGTCATGTGTTGATCAGCTGTGTCATGTGTTGATCAGCTGTTTCATGTGTTGATCAGCTGTTTCATGTGTTGATCAGCTGTTTCATGTGTTGGTCAGCGGTGCCGTGAGTGGTCACACAGCCCTCCTCCACAATGTACCCGTCCTAATAGTGTACTCAACGTCCCAGTAGCCGGACACAACAATAAGCTACAGTATTAGTGATTTTCCTTCAGTTGAGCTTTGATCAAACATTAACTGAGCAAGGGCTAGGGTGTCATGTCTGTATTTGTCATGAGTCTGTTATTATTTACACAATATCTTGTTATTTTCAATGATCTAGACATTGTGTATCAGGTTTCGACATCATCTAGTACAGAAATACTGTGAAAACATCCACTAGTTTCATGTTTCTTGGGGTGTACAGCATGCTTGGTATGTTAACGTTCAGAAAATATATCTTTCAGTTCTGATAGTAGGGTTGAGTATTTGGCAGTTTGAACTTGATCTTTATCATTCGATGTTAAAAAAGTTTAGAAACATGAATTTGTGTGAACAAAATGGTAAACTCATAAAGTGCATTCACAGTTTTCAATCCATTTAAATGTTAATTATCACTTTAAGTTTGTATTGCGGGGTGAAAAACTCAAACATTTCACAACAGTATTTTTGCATTTTATGGAGATTTAAAAAGATACAGTCATCACGATATGGCTGAAATATTGCCGATGTGACGTTAAATTTTAATTCACTCACTCACTAAAAAGATACAGTGTGTGTGTGCAAACATTAAAATTGGAATCATGTCCACAGTAACTTCATCATTTTCATGTACTGTTTCCCTCATGACTTACACAAATAACTAAAGAAAACACTACAAAATCAGTGACACTGTTTAGTGCAATAGTGCAACACAAGCCCTTCCCATTCTAATATCATGTTGATCAGAAAACAGGTTTGTGAATGGACATGTCTGATTTCTGTTTTTGGTTCATGGAAACAACTCCAAAAAATTGCGTAGTTATCCAATCTAAATGTTTACACTTGCTAAATGGGCTATATTGCAGAATGGAAGGGTTACCATCACCTTATAATTGTGATGACCTTATGATTTAGCAAGAGTAGAGTTCATATTGCACTCTCAGATGGCATCTTCCTGAGGCAAGGGAGGTAAGCGCCTCTAATGCTGAATACTTACTTTGTAAAGTCAGTAATCTGCCTTGCATTGGAAAGATGAGTTATAGTATGTACGGTACTATTAAGTTGTTCTCCCCTGCATATTCTGTTGAGACCGGTACGCTATGTTCATGTTCCATGTATCATATACATCTTATATTTTATTGAGATATACATATATGTATATATATTTTTTGCACAGTATGGCAATGTGTTTTGGTTGCAACTGTAAGTTGTTTGTATCATGTAATGAACAATAGCAGCGAGCCATGCAAGCAACCAATACTACTAGAACAAACTTGGTAGATGGAAGAGTGAGCCCTTGATGCCAGACTGTGCTACTCAATCTTAGTTAGGGATATTCAAGTGTGGGATCTGAATGTGTGTGATTGGTTGCTTGGAAGTAGTGGCATACAAATAGTATCCAACTGGAACTTCAATTAAAGTTAAAAGTATTCAATCCCGATGAGTCGAATTGCTGGGTATGTATATGAGGGTAGAACAAAAGATGATCCAGTCCTAATTCCTCCACCTAAGCATTTGTTTACCTAATGATTTCCCTATCACTAATAGGGGCACCTTATCAGTTCCAGTCTGATAAGCACAGACAGTGATTTCCGTAAAATCACTAATCTGCCTTTTGAACTCACCCGTCAATGGCGGAAAGGTGTGAGCTGCGCTGGTTTGTTAATTGGATCAGTTTGCTACACCAATCAACTTCTCATTGACTGACTTCGGCTTATGTATACAAGATTGCTGTTGTTTGAATCTCATGGGACCAAATTTCCTTCTCGAGTCATCGTGTGTATTCATGAGACGAATTCGTGTAACCGGTATTCAAATGATGACAACTATAACAGGGAATGGTCGGGACCGACAGGTACTTCGAGTTATGCATAATATTCGAGACGCCGGCATTCGACTCATCGGGATTTGACTGTATTCAATCCAAGAAGACCAGTTGTCACCTATCTAGTAGCGGGACAGTAGTTCTGTGTGATGTATATTGAGCTGCAGTATTTATCATTATTTACACGTTGGATGCAAAAGTTGTTTTCTGTTGAGGAGTTAGTAGTTCCATGTTGTTTGTTGAGCCATTTGGATTACAGCATTTACAGTTATCGTTTTAATTGTCCTCGCCTTGGTCTAGTTACTAATTACTAGGCAGCCTGAGGGTTGACTTTATCGTGTTGATCATTGCTGATGTGTGACCTTATTCAAAGAAAGAAATGAGAGCCTGATGAGATTTTAAATCTGTTTTACAGATTTGGGAAAATTCACAAACATTGAAAAATAATTTTTCAGGTGATTCTGGTTACAAATTTCAGTGAAGGAAACAAATGTCATAAGTGACTCTGGTCGTTCAATTTCTTTCACTGCTTTGTTTCATTCTGGGACCAGTCATGCATTTAAAGTGACCCCATCAATTGTTTTTGCATTATCATTTTCTGACCAATATTTGTTTATTTTGTGCTGTAAGTCATGCTATGAAAAGATACTTCAGCATTCTGATCAATACTGATAGAGTGACAAGTCAACAGTATTTCTATGCCATGTACGAATATATGAAGGCACATGGGCCATCACCTTGCCATTTATTCCGGTGAAATGAAACCTTCTTATCTAAGTCTTTGGCAGGCACATTGGGAATTTTGTCAAATTGTACAAAATTGGGATTTGTTAAGATGTTTTTCTTCTACTTAATGCAATGTTACAAAATTCCAAAATTAAGTGCAATAATGTAACTTTTAGCTTTAATGTCTTTCTGTTTATTGGTCCCGGGAAAGACATTTCTCCTAGACCAAGCCATCATTTTAGTATACTATATATTAACATGAATTACAGTTTTGTTTCTCATTTGGGACAATTTATGGACACTTGCTGCTTATTTGGGGCCGAATATAGGCAGTATATAGGAAATATAAAAAGCTGTGGCTCTGAAAGGGTGATGATATTAATTTTGGGGCTTCCAGGTGCAGTTAACACATTGTGGAGATAGATGTTTGAATAATCTACCGGTATGTATTGTATGCTACTTGATACTTCAACACTTCCTTACCTCTAGTACTGGCAGAATATGGTCATAGAAATATAATGTACAATAGTGGGATTCCTCAGCCAAAGGGATGATATATTTTAATTTAAACACAGGTATATATACATATACACACACGCGTGATAGCCAATATATATCACTTGTGTACACAGCCTATATTTATACTGAACCGAGTGGAGATATTGCAACACTGAGTATTTCTGCAATACTTCATATATTTATAGTTTGTCAGAAGTTAGTCAGTTAGTCATCTTCAGTTTGTTCCTCTTGCTTATGTTGTTTGAGACTGAATCGACCGCCTCCGTGGTGTAGTGGTTAGAGCGTCCACACGGAGAGCCAAAGGTCGAAGGTTCAAGGCCGTTTAATCACAACAAGGACCATACCAAAAGACGTTAATGCTTCACTGTGTACTTCAGTTGGTCCCTGCCTGGCGCCCGGCATTAATGGGTACAAACAAGGACTGGTCGGCTTGGAGTCAGTATAATAGCAGCTTTCTAGCAAAGAAATGCCTAGATTTTGACAAAATAATTTGATTTCTAGACATTTTAGAAAAGGTTTAAAAAGGTTAATATAATGACGGTATGAAAACCAAAACTATCAATCTTTTTTATTGCATTACGGTATGTTGAACCGGGGACAAAATACCGCAGCATACTGTTTCACCCTTAATGTATTCTGTTAACTGGTCCACTGTGAAAGCTGAGAATCTCAACCTGCCTTACTACTACTTTTCTAGCATACTCAATAGATACTTTTCAATAGGGAAATAATGGAAGCACACAGAGTTACCATGTATATCTCACTACGCTGTGACAACTGCCAGAATATCTTTCTTGTTCAGTATAGATGTGGGAGTGTAAGGAAAGATAGCTTTTTGGGAGTCAAAACATATCTGACATATAGGAGTTATATATGTCAACTTTCCACACATGATGTAAGAATGACCACCATCATTACAATGGCAATGTGGTTTCAAGCCACAGTCTGCAGTATTGCATCTATGTCTCTACAGCCTGTAAGGAACTTAGTTACCACCCATTAATATATGACCAGTCATTATGCCAGCAGAGGAAGATAGTTGGGTGTGAAATCCATAATAGATCTCGAAACTGAAAGTGTAATCAATTGATTACCAAAATTAATTTAAGAATATTAACTCTGGTGAAGTGAGAAAACAGGATTTGGTTTACATAACATGCATAACTATGACATTAATTATTAATCTCCTGTGTTCTCATTACCAGCTTAAGTTGAAATCCATGACAAGATATTTTTACCTATAGTATTTTGTTTTGAGAGAAACTTGTATATGATCATATAAACATGGGGGTATGTGTGGATACATGTCATATAGCATATATCCACAAGTCTTATACATGTATGTCTGTGTAAATAAAACATATTATGGTAATACCAAGGTGTTTGTTTTACGTTTTATTCACATTGTCAACAAGACTTCTTCAACCTTAATCCAGACATTTAAACCCATGTTTCTTTAAATATCTCTGTTATATATACCCTTTAGAGGAATATACCAGAGGCTGCTTGGACATTTACAGGTGTGAAGCACCCCCTGACCGAACTTGCCATTCTGCTCTACCGTTTATTACAGTACACACCTGAAACAATAGCCTGGTTTGCATGGTCCCAGTGATTCTCTATCTCTCATTAGACTCTTTGTATAACCATCGCTAGAATGGATGACACAGTTAGGTAGCAGCTGAGACTTGGTGTCTGGGCTTATCCTCCTCGATAATCTCCAGGGTATAAGTTGCTACCACTCTCCTCACTCTCCACTGGATGCATCCACGGCTTGGGGCCGATGATTTTATTACCTCCCTTGGCTGGCTTTTTATCCAGTCAGGTGCCTACGCTGGGAAGTTGAGCGTACCAATCACTACTCACTTTCGCGTCTTAAATTATCTAACCGTTTAAACTTGGCGACACAATTGATGCAAAGGTACTCTGAAAGAAGTAGAAGGCGTTCTTTCATATATTCTTTTTAAAGTTTCAGATCTGTGAATTTGTCTTTATTATTTCCCCAAAAATTTGAGTGGCACTGCGAACAAACCTTCATGACTGCGCCCGCTATCTTTGTTGACACTGGCAAGCTCGGTTGTAACGGCAGCTTAGCTGATAGGCTACTGTGAGGGTATAGTGGAGGGTGATCGTAACGTATACCCTGGAGATTATCGAGGATGGGCTTATCCTATGCAAGTGCTGTATCTTCAAGAGATCTTTGGAAGATGTAGTATCAATGAGTTGAAATGGTTTTACACTGTTTCTTGCAATATCACAACAGGGGAAACCAGAAATTGTAGCCAAGTAAGGAATCAAACACAGACTTTAGGCAAACACTTTAAGCACAAGGCTACCTCATCGCTGTCAGTGAATATTATTTGACTTGAGTGACAACTTGCTTGACACCTCCACTGATTGCCACATTCAAAACTAAAGAAGTTGACAACTTTGTCTTCATCCATGGAAAGCAGTCCATATTTTGCAGGTTCTGTCCATATTTTGCAGGTTCTTCTGAATCACATGTATGAAACATGATGTGTCATATTTTTCTGCCTGACTGTTTTCCTCCTTGAGCACTCCTGTGTCGGACACACACCCAGGAGTTGGACTGATCTAGAATCTTCTTCTGTTGAGCTGACAAACGGAACATGCCAGCCATTCTCACTCTGTTGTACAATGGTTTCATTGATGTGTGGGAACTGCAATAAGAAATGAAATGAACAAGACTGTGAACAGTGGGAGTGAGCGAATGATGTTTAATGCCATTGTGGCAGTATTCCAGCTATATGACAGCAGTTTACAAACACTCGAATCTGAACCAGGGGATCCTTTCACGAAGCAACCTTTACTAAGGTTACTTAACTCCCATTCTTTAACATTGCACTAAGGTTACCTTAGTGACTTACGATCACTTTAGTACTTTGTGAAAGGAGGCCCAGGTAAACGAGCAACTTAATATATGGCCATGCTGTCAGTGTGTGACGTTACAAATCACCGATTTGAGTGACCCTGTATATCAGACTGCCATGCATGCACATTCTGAATCCTCAGAGGCCTGGACAATCTATCCCAACACATTTCAGATCTGGTTTGTTTGTTGAAAAACATGTTGAATATACCATTATTACAAGGAATTGAGAAAAGTCACTTCAATTTGAACAAGCAGATTTTGCAGCTTATTTGTACAGAGACGAGTGTACACTTTATAAATTACTGTGGGCTGTTTGTCCAGGGTTCATCCAAGTATTTGAAACATGACATACATACATGGCAGGTAACATGGAATAAATCTCATTATACACCAGGTCCAAAACCAAGTTTGAAGGTATTTAACATGACCAAGAAACCAACCAGAAACTCCTTCCCATCAGTCCATGTTATCTGACGTGACCACTGCCATTTCTCAAACGTCTCCTTCAGCTCCGGACCAACCAGACTCTTGTGGTCCCGCATGAAGTCGCGAGATACGTAGTGGCAGGCCTTGCCGCTGTATGCTGCTGCATACAACACAAACGGGTCGTCCTTGGAGCTGACACAGAAAAGGGAGTAGTTACACTGATTGACTGAGTTTGGTTTTACGCCGCTTTTAGCAATATTCCAGCAACATCACGGCAGGGGATACCAGAAATGGGTTTCACACATTGTACCCATGTGGGGATTCGAACCCGGGTCTTCGGTGTGACGAGCCAACGCTTTAACCATTAGGCTACCCCACCGCCCCGGGGGTAGTTACAAACAGGTCCTGCTGTTGAGGGACAAACAATGACGTTATTTGAGATTATATTTTCTAGATTTTACCAAAAGTAGATTGGCACATTTAAGGAAATCCAAAACTAAGTACGCAAAGACATACAATGCTCAGAGATTTGCATTCATGATTATTAAGTGAACATAAAATTACTTGACAGCCTTTTACATATTTGACATCATCCAGTAGACAAAAAAGACAAGCTGTAGACAGTGAAGAGTCTGGTTGTTAACTTACGTTCTTTCTGTGAAGAATATTTGCGCATGTGCTTGTAAGTAAGGTATGAGAGACTTCAACTTGCCATGACTTCTTCGACATATCAGAAGAACCTTCGCCCTTCGCTTGACAGCAAAGTAGTCGACAACATCTTTCAGATACTGAAAAACAATCCAAATAAAACGGTGTGCCTGGATCAGTTTAAACAGAAAATGGAATTGAATCACTTTTAGCTATATTCCAGCATTATTATGGCAGAATGTTGGGAATCGAACCCAAGTTGGACCCACACCTGTCGGAGGGTCAACCACAAAGCAATAGCCTGCTACAGTTCTTGCTCAGGTGCATAGCTTTAACCGGCTCCATGGCCTTAAGACAAAAGCATGATCCACTAGACTACCCCACCATCCTCTTCAGTGAGTGAGTTTAGTTTTATGCTGCTTTTAGCAATATTCCAGCAATATCACTGCAGGGAACACCAGAAATGGGCATCACACATTGTACCCATATGGGGAATCGAACCCGGGTCTTTGGCGTGACAAGCGAATGCTTCAACCACTAGGCTACCCCACCTCCCCTTCCATCCTCTTCAGATTTTAAGTTTTTTGAGTTAAGCAATTGATCTATATGCTGTAACTCACCTGTACTTTAAAACGACCATCAGTGTGCATAACACTCAGGGTATCAATGACAACATCAAACGGAGCATGCTTCTTCAGCAGCTGTTGGAAGTTTGTGATTTCCTCAGGCGATGACCGTAGGTAAGCATTGTCAAGGAGCAGAGTCTTCTCCAAGATGGCACTCTGGAGCAACGCAAACTTGTCATCGGGCAGCTCAAGCTTTTCCAGCAGAAGGCCACATGAGTTGCAATGTCCACTGGAACAGGTCAAAGTATTTTCCTAATGAACACTTTGTTGTGCAGTGAACACTTATGAAAACAAATACTCCAAAAATCTTTTTCCATAATAAGTAGCAAGTGAGCAACGAGGTCAACGTGAATGAGTGGGGTCATATGCAGATGTATTAACAATTGATTGATAAAGCGATGACCTCTCAATAAGGCCACATTCTGACGTAGCCTATTTATTGCAAACCTGAATTCATTCATTCTACAACTAAATGCATTGTTAAACATGTTAATGCTGTGTCGCACTTAATTGTGAGTCGAACTGAGACATCTTAGAAACTAAACGCAGAGTGATGTCAAAATCTAATGAAGCAACTGGAAACCAAGAAACGAGGTGCTACGGAGTAGTTTACTGTAGGAGGCTGTCCTTTACAATGGTTAGCACTGATTACCCAGAGCTGTTTAAACATTAGAAAACGGGTTTCGGTTTAAAACAGTGACACTTCACTGCAGCTCAGCCTCACATGAAAGTCCACATTTAAAAATGTGAACAAAAACTCGCCACTAATTCATGTAACATTTTCTGCACATTAATGAAAAGAGGTTATTAGCACAAAAAACTTAAATGATTTGAACACAATATGGCCATTATAGGAAGAAAAACATGTCAATGTTCTGCTTCAAACATTTTCAGTCCAGCAGGAAATTTTGAACAGAGAAGAAACAAGTTTAAAGAGCCAAAGAAAGCCAAAGTTGAAAAGAGTGTTTAAAAAAGCCAAACTATATTTCTGAAAAATAAAAAGTTTCATTACATTTTGAACAAAAATTGCCAAAAATGTATGGAATCTCTTGAAATTTTGGGTATAAATACCACACAACAACATCATAAGTGATCATCTGATCAAAGGTCAAATCAAAGCAAAAAATTAAGAATATTGCGAAAAATGTTCAGCCACACGACTGACTACACAAAGTACACACGAACCAAATTTCATCACATTCTGAATTCAACATGTAGACTTCCTATCACGAGTATACTTGTAGTATGAATTCTGGCCAAATTTGCCACTACGAGTTATCTCATAGCTATATCAGTGGTACTTTAAAACAAGTTTGACATGTTGGCAAAATAGGCATAAGAAGCAATTGTCTCCTGGCGTAATTTGGACAATTGATACTACGAGTATACTCGTGATAGGCAGTCAACATGTTAACTGATTGATGGCCAGAAAAAGGTTCTTAAAATGGAAACCTAATGAAAGATTTGAACCTAGCTCTTAAACCTTTAATAAACCTGTCATTCCTACAATGGTATGACCAAAAGACACCATCATCTTTACACATGACAATAAACAATATGCACTTAAGACTATATCCTGTATACCTCTGCCCCCCTCAGCCCCATTTTACATACCTGGGAGATACACTTGTCTTCCTGCACTTGTACTTGCCACCATGAAACCTGAAGAAACATCAGCTGTATCACAGTAAGCCCTGCAGTTGATGTAACTCATATCAGGGTATTGTATAACTACTGTTGAAAGGCATGACATCATCACAGAAGACACCATTACCTTGTCAACATGCTGCAGGGTTAACCTCTTTGGTCATGTGGATAAGGTGTTCAACCTCAGATCACGTGTTCAGTGGTTCAGATCCCATCACTGGACAGGTTTGGTTTTTGTTGTTTTACACTGCACTCAGCAATATTCCAGCTATATGGCGGAGGTCTGTAAATAATCGAGTCTGGACCAGACAATTCAGTGATCAACAGCATGAACATCAATATATGCAATTGATAACATGTGTCAAGCAAGTCAGCAAGCCTGACCACCACGATCCTGTTAGCCGCCTCTTACGTCAAGCATGGGTTACTGAAGACCAATTTTAACCCAGATCTTCATGGGTACACTGACAGGAAATTAAATATCTTTGACATTGGCATCTGATTGTAGAGACGTCATCTATGAGATGACTCCACGCTAGTGTTGGGAATTGGTTGAAATCTCACAATTGATGATTGGTTCAATACCAACGACCAATCATCGAAAAAAAATTGGTTAGCGTCATTTTTTAGATTTTCCTATTCAGGTTGTAGTTGCAGATAAGTATAAAGAAAAAAACATTTGGTTCTCTGTTGTTGCGTTTAAAAACTGCACAAATTACATTTGCAGATTTCACATCCAGTGTAAAATGATTCAGTTCCAGTGTAACATTAACTTCCCAGATTCTTCAAGAAATATTCAGTCATGACTTTTCAGAAAGTGAAGTGAGTTTTCTTAGAATTAAACACGCTTTCAGGCCCTGACAACGTCCTAGATATGTTCCATCATCAAGTATTTCAAACTCTGTTACAGCGGTTCCAAAATTGTTTGTGTTCGATTATGAGAAAATGTGATCGATTGCTTGGTCGTTTGGCCACTGCGACCAATCTTCGATTATTTCAATAATCGGACCACCACTACTCCACGCCATGGTACGATAACAAGATATTTACCTATGGAAATGCTGCATCAACTCATCTGCAACATCTTCACTAAGCTGCCAACGATGCTTCCTCATGTACTCAAACAGTTTGAAGACACTAACGCCATAATGAGTGTTTTCACAAAACTTCAAGAAGGTCCTGTATAAAACATCCGATGGAGCTTCTCCTTCCCACCCAAGAACATCCAACAACTCTTGCACTTTATCTATGTCCCCATTTCTCAACCCTGCCATTATCACATCATTGTACAAAAAGGTTTTGGGGTTATTTAATTCTTTAGCATTTTCAATCCAAGCTACACAATCTTTCCACCGATCGGTGTGGGAGAAGCCATGGACCAGATCACTCAACATGACAGTGTTACTGAGAGGCGATATCGTCTGCATCTCCTCATAGAGTTTGTACAGCAGATCCTGCTCGCTCCTTCCACATATCTTCCCACACACACTGATAAACAGGCCCAATGTAGTCAGGTTGGCCCTGCTTCTCTTCCTGTGTATATAACTGAGGTAACTCTTGGCATGTTCCATATTGCCAGACTTCAAAACATGACTCATGCATAGTGTCTCAAAGGTCTTTCTCATGGATGGATTCTCTTCAAGGAATTTGTTTTCCAAATCCTCCCAGTCAGTGAAAGTTGTCTGGTATGAGGGATCTGAAGTTCTTTGTTGGAAGTTGTCTAGGGCTATGGTGGTCATCTTTCCTCGAGAGTTATCTGCAATTCTGGAGCATGAGGTGAAGCACACTGACTTGCGTTGTGCGAGGAAAGGGCTGAAGAAGTTGAGAGATACATGTCTCCGTAAGCATTTCATTTGCCACTGACATTTACCGGTAAAACTTGTGGGTTCTCCACAATGTCTATATGAATGTATACTGGATATATGTTTGGAAATATTTGTCAGTGACACCATCCAAGGTCGTCTTGATATGCTGAAGGCTAAGGTGTTGATGTTCATAGCAGTAATTCTCTCTCAAGTCTACAAAAAGAAGAACAGAACTTATCATAAAACAAGTAACATTGATAGATAAGATTCCTATAGGGAAACAATGAACATAAACACATCCAGAATAGGGCTATCAGTGGTGCACACATCACATTTTTAAAGCACACAAAAGTGCATAGCTTAATAATTTGGTGACACGATGTCATAATGATCAACAAAATATACAACGAACTGGCTTATTTTGGGCCAACAAATGCCATAATCTTACTGGAATTTCCAGTTAATGTGAGCTATGAATATAACAACGTACATTGTTTCATCATACATTGTTATTGTAACGTCTTTTGGAAGACATCACCAGACATGCTTTTCTTAAACTTTGTTTAATTTTTGCTATTTTTTATTCCCTACATGAATAGCAAGATTACACAAAATGTAACAGCTTTTCAGTTTTCTTTTCATGAATCAATGTCAATTGCATTTTACAAACCAATGATCACTCTTTCAACAAAATGTTCAATACAAACCAATCACCAACACTACTAATATGTCTTTGTTTAACTGTTTGTGAAACACCCAGATATAACTGGCTGGTGCCCCATGAAGTTGAACATGAACTAAGTTCAGCCATTAGTTATCTCACTAATAGAAAAAGAATGTATCTGCATTTTATAAATTAAGAAAATACATATGTGTGCCAGTTTTCATACCATACCAAAAAACAACGGAAGTTCTTAAGCGACCAAAAACACATGATAGTGATACAAGGACATAAAAACGTAACAAGGAGCCGATATAGAAAACCAGGGATAGAAATTATTTTTTTTCTAAGTGTGCCTTAGGGCACCAGGCAAATATTTAAAATGTGCCTTTCAGAAATCAAGTGTGCCCACATGTTTTTAGAATAAATGACTGTAGCAAGGATGATGATCTTTTGAAATTTATTGTTAGTAAACAACAAATGTAACCAGTTTTCGGTTATCACTGATATGTCTTCTGTTTAAGATGGCTTTCTAATGTTACATTTGTTCTGCTTTCCCATCACCTTTAATAGCTAAGAATCGTGTGAGAGGTTCACTTTTTTCAATATGTCTAACATACACAATTTACTCTTCACTAACCGAACTATCAGTACTCACAACACTCTAAATGGAAAAACAACCAGATTTCTTTACATCATCCATAATAATTCCAGTGATTTCCTGGGCGTAAAAGTCAATAAATGTTTTTGCTTGGTTGTCATTTGCTTAAGTGTTTTGTTTGGGGATTAAATGACTAAAGGTGTGCTATGTCTCTAAAAAATTAGGCATGCCATAAGGGCACCAAGAACATTTTTTATCTGAGCCATTTCGATATTTACCATGCCATGGCACGCTAATACATGGGGTATTTCGAACCCTGAAAACTTTCTCCAAAAAGGAAGAATTCCCCCTGTAACCCCTGTTTCATGTTTTATCATTCTATGCCTAAGAATAGATTTTTTTATATAAAAACGGGGCTGCTTATTTACTTTCTTTAAAGCGTTTAAAGGCCCCAGGATTTTGAAGTTTTGTGGAATAAAAAGATTCAGGTGTCAGGACCTAACCCTAACACTTCAAGCGTGGATTATGGGCGGAACTCTTACCCCCTAAAGATGTAGGAGGCACGAGAGATCAGCGAGGCGATACAAACAAAATATTTTTGAGATCTATCTATTTCTTAAAGTATTTATTTGGTAGTGAACGCATTCTACAATATCGCACCATGTTTCCTAACATCCGACACTGAAAGAACGCCAATTATGTGGTTCTTATTATACTAATATTTCACTTTAATAATAATAATTGATTTATAGAGCGGCTTTTTTCAAAAGATATTGCTCAATGGCGCTATAAAGAGAAAAGATTGTAGACAATATCTATGGAAAAGAGAGTTTGAACAGATGAGTTTTGAGGGCAGTATGGAAAGCGTCTACAGATTCTATGAAATACCTCATACAAAATAATGTGAATTTACTTTGAATGGCGTGTTATGTAGCCGCATCTGGCAGAATCCCCTGCTTCAGTGCTTGTCAAAGTAACCGGACGGTGAATTAAATTCACAGTCGTAACTGAACATGCAAAAACAAAATTATGAAACACTAACCTATAACAGTAATACTTCGTAACGTCGCATTTGACCATAACACTTAACAAACAAATAAAACAGTTTTTTCCTCATTAATGAAACACAATATTACTTCTTGTGATTACAAATGTAAACAAAATTTCCTCGAGTAACTTCACTTTAACCACATGTACACAACTCCTTACATCGGACATTCATCATCAGCGTATCGCGAGAGGAAGCTCGCGAGAGGTAGCATGCGGTGTCATGGAGCAGTAACAGACTTCCGTTTCAGAGCGACTCCTATATGAAATAAAGGGACATCACTCTATTACTAGAAGGGTTGTTATTGATTTCACGGCGGCACAACATTATATTATAATTTATAATGCAGTTCAGTGTTATCTCGTCCGCAATGACTCAGTCGTCGTCAGTACTCGTCTAAAATGTCACATTATATGAAAGCTTCAAAAAAATCTTTTTCAAGAAATGCTCAAGAGTTTATTATACGCCCTCTCCTTCGCCAGAGGGAAACCGGAGAGCTCTGTGACTTGACAATCAAGCTGAATGGACGGTGCTTCAATGCACACAAAGCCGTTCTGGCACTATGGAGCCCATATTTTCTGTCCATGTTCACTTGTGACATGAGGGAACGACTGACAAGGGAACTTGATCTGTCAGAATCGTTAATTTTAGAACGAGATGATGTGTTTGGAACCGTCTTAGACTACATGTACACTGGTTCTATAACCCTGACTATAGAAAATGTTGAGGATATTGTCAAAATATCAGATTTTCTTCTCATTGATGATGTAAAAGAGTACTGCAGGCAGTTTTATTTAGATCTTGGAAATTTAGATCTAACAAACTGTATACGGCTTAAATTTCTTGCAGAAGATCACAATATGCCAGAGGTAGCAAAATTTGCACAGAAAATGATTGAATCTCGTTTTCATGATTATGTTATCTACCATGATGAAATGCTGGACTTGCTCCCATCATGCATCTTCAGACTGCTGGAAGATTCTCGGGTTGTTCAGCACACCAGCTACAATGAACTCAAGAGAGTTGTACAACGCTGGATTGATTTTGACCGATCTTTTCGGCAGCAATACCAATCTGACCTCATGACTTGTGTGAAGTCCTGGATATCTGACTATGCAAATGAAGCATCTTACCTCGGACGCGAGATGTCCACCAGTGATATTCTCCGGAGATCCATGGAGGGATCTTTAACTTCAGCTTCTGCCAGTGCTGGACCATCTGATGCAGATACAGATTTCACAGACAAACGAGACACCGAGAGTCCATCAGACTGCGGTAGCCAAGTGTTGCTGGCAGTGGTTTGTAACCAAGGGCTGAAATTCATGAAGATTCTAATTTATAGTTTACAAGATCAAAAGTGGTACCAGTTCCCAGTTTCTGGAGAAAAAATGTTGCATTACATGCCAGTTCGCCAAACTGTATGCAATATGGTTTTAAATGACAACAAACTTTTTATGTATCTCTGCTCAAGCTTTCCATACCCAACAGATATGATGAAGATCAACATTCTTGTGACAGATCTGGTCACTGGTCAACCAACACTTTTCTCATTCCGGACAGTGGACTTTTACAACCCATGTTACCGGACTACACTGACAAACATCAGAACAGCGCCACCTGTGATGGTTTCTTGCAATAACCAACTGTTTGTGCTTGGTAACAAGGAAGGTACTGGGCACCTGTTTATGTGCAATCTTGCCACCCACCAATACACATGCTTTCAAATACCAGGCTCACGATTCATCAGTTTAGGCAGAGCAACAGTCAAAGATGACCGTCATATTTACATGTGGTTTCGCCACCGCACAGGACCATCCGAAGAGTTCTGTATCAAAAAGTCAATAGGTTTTGCAGTGTTTGACACAAGAACTAAAATCTTCAGCTCATGGGAACTTCCTCCTCCAGACATATCGTACGATGACTTCTCAAAGCCATACGTGATGTGCGTGAGGGAGGATACAGTGTTCATATACCATCCAGGGCAGCCTGCTCTAGTCCTGGATGAAGTCCGATCCAAGTGGGTCACATCCATCAGGAGAATCTCTACCCCTCATCCCGACTTCTCAGTCGATACTCAGGCATATGGGTTCCAGCTTCTAGTCTCCACAAGTGAAAGTGTCTTCATCTTGAACAATGAGTGTCCCTACACAACATCACTGCATGAGGTGTCGGAGAAGTTCCCGTGTTCTATGGCTCACATTCCTCCTCCCATTGATCACATCTCCGTGGTAGCAGTAGGATCTGTACCCAAGACGATGATGCAGTCACTTGACAAGTGTAGTCGCTATGACGATGCCTATTCAAGTGCCCTGCATGTGGCCATGCAGTATTCCGATGGCGACTCTGACGACAGCGCTGCATCCAACTATGAGGAACAGGACTCAGAAAATGACTACGAATATGATGAAGATATTTATGATTATGATTATGATGTTGAAATTGGTTTGGACTTCTAAGATGTATTATGTCAATCAAAGGTGTTTTCAGAAAAGTTTTAAGAACAGAAGAACAGCCTGATCCTCACACGACTTACATGATGAAAAAGAATTCAATCCAGCCTTCAAATGGTAAATCAAGGATCATCATTTTCATGGATTAGAAATATCAAAACAGTTTTTCCGGGTAAAATATACTTTCATTTGTTTTGATGAAAGTATCATTTAAAAAAGCTAAACTAGTTTAGTTTACTGCCATGTATGTCAATGGCTCCACTTGTTCATAAACTCAACAGTAACAGACTACCAGTAGTATTAACTGATTGTATACAATGCAGTGTGCACAGATTCCCTTGTATGTAGTTCTCCATGATCAGCTGTACAATGGTCTGTTTTTTAGACATATTTTTTAACATTGTATAATATATTTGCTAAATAGACTAAACTTACTACAAATGTACATTCTGAATGAGAGATACTGGTTAGTTTTACTGGATTAAGTATCCAGATTAGGAAATCTCTTCTTGCTGTGTCAGTTGTAAATTCATTAAGATTGGACTGAAGATCTGACATGTATATGACCTATGGGAGTCAGTCAGGGCATTGGTTATATTCAGAACTATCAAGGCCAGTATAAATTAAAGATTTGTTGTCCATTTTATCAGATAATGGAGGAAGCATTTCATTCTTCTTTCAAAGAAATAACATGATGCTAGAAATTGGTCGTCTAGCACCAATTTACACATGAAACAAGTTTGGGCATAAACTATTAAAAACACTAAAATACTGCAGTGATGGAGTGTACACTGGGTTATACGTTGTATTTATAAATACTCCTGTGTTAGGTCTAAAATATATGGTTCTTATTAATTCCAAAATGGCAAGATGACCTTTTTTCGTTATATGTGTACATAATCTTGCTTTTATACAACAAATGGAATAAGACAATCTGAGACCATAACATGTGAATATTTAATTCCTGCAAGGTAAGTGTTGGCAGCACATTCCATGATTGCATGAACAAGCAAACTGTAGTGTATGTAGTGTACCGTGAAGTGTAAGAATTAGTTTCCAAGGTGAAGTGGCCAGGACAGCTGAAAGTGTTAACAAAAAAACATTGTATGCCCTCATCATATTTGACTAGCCCTACATAATGGCTACAAGCTTCGTGCTTTGTGGTAATCATATTTTATGTTTATTTTGGTTCTTAGGTATTCCCATTCATCACTATTAATACTTGTACATGGGTATCCAAAAACCCAGTTTAGGACATCGCAAGATTATCTGGAAAACTATGAAAAGAAATTGACAAGAGACTGACCTCTAAACATGGATACATGACACTTTTATGGATAACAACTTCTTTTATTCTTTACACGACGTTTCAGAGCTAATTCTTGCTCCTTCATCAGGTGAATACATGGAATGGGAAAAAGGCATTGAGGTGGTATAGAAATAGGCAGGCAAGGATAACAATCTAGGATTAATTTATACTGGCCTAGTAATATATTGGCAGCATTATCTTCCTTCAAACTGTTGACCTCACCATTTGTTTGTTATATACTGTTCACAGTGAGAGATGTCACGTCAGTTAGAGCTGCTATAAACAATGTGTTGTAATAAATAATTTATTGGTTCATACTGTGATAGTTACATTATTGGTTTATGATTGTGATGATGTTTTATATGATTGTCTCCTTGTTTTTATATATTAGAATACATTGGATTGTTCCTATATCATGAATGTTACAGTGTGAATATCAAAATGGTCTTTAGCATAATACTGGTAGCTTACAGTGTTGCTGTTGAGTCATAGCAGGACATATTTCTCACTTTAAGGCCACATTTCTGCAGATTTTGTTTTTTAATGGGTGGGGGTGTTGTGGGTTTACAGGTTTTTGTCCCCAAAATTCAATGTGGTAGGTTCAAATATATATTTTATATATACTAAGTAAGTAGTGGTACATTATACAAATACTGGGGCAAGAGTGTTTCAGAAAAAATAACATTTACCCGGTAACTTATTTCTGCTTGGTGGGATATAACAAAAAATATAGTTTCATTTTGTATGTCAATGGTTTTCAACACCATTGACATACAAAATGAAACTAAATTTTTTGGTTTCAAAACCATTGACATACAAAATGAAACTAATTTTTTTGTTATATCCCACCAAGCAGAAATAAGTTAAATGTTATTTTTTCTGAAACACTCTTATTAGTAAAATAGTTTGTTTAAAAATGTCTGGCCTAAGGGATATCCTCTTGTGCTCTTAAAAGTTCCTGCTGTTTCTGACTAAGAAGACTGGTTCAGAATACTTATGTAGCATAAAGCGACAGTGTAGCTGTTTGTCTTGTAACTGATAGACGTAGTCATCAAACTGTACATTGTGTTTAATATCCTGCTGTCTCGGACTGGTTGATGAAGATGCTACAAAATACGGTATATGTTGTCTCCCTTGTTGGTGTGGTTACTGGATGTCATGTGACACGTACCTTACGATGTGTAACTGAACTTCATTTTGTTTGCAAGTGGTCATTTATTGTAGGATGGGTGGATGTGCCGGTGGTATTTGTCTAACCAGCGGGTCATATTTTGCATGTTTCTAACAGTTGTGACAAAGCTTGGCAACCCCTCTCCCCCTATCTTGTGTGGTTATTTATTTATTCATGTCGCCACCCCAGTCCAATAGTTCTGACAAATTCTGGCGACCCTTGCTCTTTCACTGTCATATTTCATGCCAACTCTGTCCCACTCAATCTAACCCCCTTTGATCATGTAGATTACATTACATTTTATAATACAACATTGTATGTTGATGTCATTGTAAAAATTAACAAATAATGCATCTTATGTTTGAGCATATGTTGGATATGAAAATGATTTTTGAAACACTGTTTTCTGATAGTATGTGCAAACCACTGTTAGTTTGATTCATGTTTAGCATGTCTGATTTGGTGGTTGTATTTTCATTCCTTTTGATAATGGAATACAAGAAGTTTTCTGTTGCAATCATACCATGCTTGTGTTATGGTCGTGTGGCAACAATGTGTAAAGTGACAGCTATATATACGTATACTGTGTATACAAGACTATCAGTATTTTACATCAGTGTGCTGCCCTTGTGATATCTACTCTTCACCTTGAATAGGCATTTGATTTAAGCAGAAAGGACTTTTATTTAAACAAAAATGCTAGTATGGTATAGGTAATGTCATGAAAATTTGTTTGTCATCAATTTCAAAATGGCAATGTGTTCAGACCATTTTACTTTTCTTCTTTTCAACCACATTTTTGTGTAGTGAAATGAAAGAAGACAAACTGAGATAATGAAATAACTGGGTATTTAATTAGAACATGGAAAGTACATTATGAAAGTACCGGGTACATTTTATGAACTCTTACACAACTACAGTTTTTGCCAGGGGGGTCACTCAGTAAAGGAAAGACAACTCACTGAAGACTAAAGTCTTACGTCAGTACCAAGAAAATAGTCTGGTTCTACAGACCCTGAAACAAATATATCCAAGAAAGCCCATGTAAGTCTATAATATATGGCAAGTCTAGATTACCGTTTCTGAAAATGAAGAAATGAACTGGTTTTTTTTCTGTAAAATATGTTCATATCAGAGATTACGGTAGTTGTTAGTCCACCAAGAAACCTGCCAGGACTAAACTGACCTGCACAATGAGAAACTTGTATTTTTGACTTACATGTAAATAAGACCTACTGCATTTTATTCGTGCAATACACTGTTACCATGGTAACTTATTTGGGATGAACCATCAACTGCCTACTTATGTACTTGAAAATGTTTATCATAATAACGCTGCTGATTTTTGTTTTCTTAAAGCTTTTGAAGATGAAGAAAAAAAATACCGAGCTATTTTGAACATACATAACTCAGTTGATTCTTTGTATTTTGAAACCCAAATGAAATATACCCATTGAGCCTTTTGTGAAGTGTAATCAACAAGACACTAGTCCTTTTGCATGGCCATATACTTCATCATTGTGTTTTCTAAATGTCACCACTGGTCACAACATGTCACCACTTTATTGCAGTTATAGCTGTTACACTTTGGGCAGCATCATTTTTAAACCTTCATGTTGGTGGGTCGGGCTTAACTCCATGCAAATCAGTTTGTGAACCTATTAGCATCAGCTTGCGAGAGCAAAGGGATACAATTTAGTAAATGAGGTGGTCCGTACCAACTGAAGTTTAAACACTGAATATATATGTCTGCATACATATCATTCAACATTGTACTACATTATTCAAATTTTATTATTTGTATGATTGAAGAATTTACTGAGCAACTCATCAAAAATAGCTTTACAAGGGGAGATAACTGAGGCAGCTTAGGCCTTTACCAGTACTTTCATACTGTTTAACATGTTACTTGTTTTCAAGAGGAATCGCATTTTCAGGATCCACTCCAACTCTGATCAACGATTACTTTCGCCTTTCATGATTGCAAAGGGGTTGTTGTTTTTTTATGAATGGATTGAGTTTTAAAAAATTACATGTAGTTAAGTACAGGTGTGATGCAAGGACAAATATCCTTGGCCTGTATCTCTGTATTTAGACAATTCTATCAAGCAGCATAATACACCATATCGTATTACTTTAACTTGTTCTTGTCAGCTTTTAATGTTTCAGCTGTAATACATAATTATTTTCATTGAAATAGACAAAAATTTGTCTGCTATTTTAAAAATGTGTTAAAGCATGCTTGACATGACTTGATCTCACTTGAAATTCATATCAAGCAAAAGTCAAGGATGTACTATATTTCAGATCTACCATGTAAACAGTGCAATGTCAGTGTCACCTTAGTGAGACGGGCAGGAGTGACCTAGTCACCTAAGGAGCTTTAATTTGCTGAGCAGATTTGCATCCATTGGACACTCAAGAAATGTATGAATCTGAGTTAGCCCTAATTATGTTTCTATGTTAGTCAGAACCCTATCACCTGGTCATGGGTTTCACGTAAAGTGCTTCGTGATCTACCATGAAAACAGTGCAATGTCAGTGTGACCTTAGTGAGACAGGCAGGACTGACCCAGTCTCCTGAGGAGCTGCAACATGCCCCAATTATGTTTCTATGTTAGTCAGAGCCCTATCACATGGTCATGGGTTTCACGTAAAGCGCTCAATACCTTGTCAAATCCTTAAGAATGGCATCAACTTGGGCTTTCCTCCCACAGTAAAGCGGCATGCTATGAAAAACTGGAATGCTGTTAAACCCACCTCTCTGATTCTTTGAAGTAGTAAGCTGACCAAGGCTTCATAATGTGCTCTGCAGAGTTGCATCCCTTTGTCAAGACAGGCTCCAATGATCATGGATTGGAATCCCAGACTCACCCATGTGATTCTTGGTTTGCAAGCACTGTACCAGTACTGACTAGCATCAACAAAGAGGTAATTAGGACCTGCATCTCTTGATTCTGATGGGTGAAGCAAGCACGGGTGTATTTTTGTTACGTTTTGTTGTACTCTGTTAATGATCCCCTTCTCAGCAATATGTGAGTGAGTCATCAACACATGACAAGTTCTATATATACATTTTCTACATGTGTTTATCTTTACTGTAAGCTTTGGTTGAGTTTTTGTTACAACTTACAATACAAGAATGTTTTGTGCATATATATTTATCTACTTGATATCAGTCAATAAAACGTTTTTGTGATACAAAAGTTTTGTTTTTTAACAAAAAACAACGATAACCTAGTCATGTGGTGTGAGTGAGTGAGTGAGTGAGTTTAGTTTAATGCCGCACTCAGCAATATTCCAGCTATATGGCAGCAGTCTGTAAATAATCGAGTCTGGACCAGACAATCCAGTGATCAACAGCATGAGCATCGATCTGTGCAATTGGAAACCGATGACATGTGTCAACCAAGTCAGCGAGCCTGACCACCCGATCCCGTTAGTCGCCTCTTACGACAAGCATAGTCGCCTTTTATGGCAAACACATGGGTTGCTGAAGACCTATTCTACCCTGGCATCTTCACGGGACTCATGTGGTGTGTACCAACATATTCTCATCCAGATCTTCAATAAAGGCCTATAAGTGGTCCCAAGTATTTGCATGGCATCATGTGTTCTAGAGGCAGACTGGGCCCCATCAGCTGTGGTTACAGAAATCAGACCGGGCCCTATCTCAAGGTCAGTGTTGTGCTGTGTTGGACTCATTTTGTGGTACCATGGTGTCTGGTCTTCTAGCACTGAACTGGGCCTTATCTTGTGATACCAAGTTATCTCTGGTCCAAGACTGCACATGGTCCTAACCTAACCTAAGTTTGTGTTTCATGACCTGACCATGAATGCAGCTCTCATGACAAAGATTGTCCTTGTAGAAATGTCCATAAAGTGTTCTGGGAGACCACAAAGCTTTCAGCTAACATATTACAAACACAATGTCGATTCAGTGTCAATATGTATATCATGAAAATTACATCGGTTCATGCATAAAGCAAGGGAAAGACTAGACATCATAAAGGCTTAACATCTCATATTACAAAATAAAATGTCAGTGGTTCAGTGACATCCATCATCACGTTGCAGTATAACAGAAGTTATCTTGAACATGACCTAGTACATTATCATATAACTTTGCAGGCATCTAAGTGCACTAAGTGTCTCCTGGCAGACAATGAAACACACATGAGAGGGTAAAATTCTTTTAATCTCAAGGATCTTATACATTCACTGGGGCGGTGGGTTGCCTAATAATTAAAGCGTTCGCTCGTCATGTCGAGAACACAGGTTCGATTCCCCACATGGGTACAATGCAGAGCTCCAGATAAGATTTAGCTCCTGTGGGTACTTTACCCACTGTATTTTTTGGGAGTGGGTATTATGAATGTTGAGTGGGTATTTCATTTTCCGTTACCCACTGCTTTCAAATATGTGCGTATTTCAGTCATTTTACTCACCTGAGTATTATGTGACTGAGTAAGTTTACTAAGCAGGTATGTTCTGCCTTATGTCATACCTAATCAAAACCAACTTAAATATAATGGAAATGATTTCATAAAAAAATCACTCATCCTATACTGACAGTACAACACTTGTCCTTTACTAACAGTACAACTTGATAGCAATCGATGTCTTTTTCATTACGCAAGCGATTTTTATAAATATATTCCATACGCTTTTGTTTTAAACCTTTTGCGTATCTAACATTTTAAATGCGTAATTGGTACGCAACAATTATTTTTCAATGCGTAATTGGAAATTTTCTATGCGTATTTTACCCGAATACGCAGCTTATCTGGGCCTCTGCAATGTGTGACGCCCATTACAGGGCCCCGTTCCTCAAAGCGATTGTAGCGCTACGACAGTCGTAAGTCTATGTTAAAGTATGGGAGTTACGATCATAGTAGTGCTACGATCGTTTTGAGGAACTGGACCCTGGTGTCCCCAGCCATGATATTGCTGGAATATCACAAAATGTGGCGTAAAACCTCACTCACTCACTTATACATTTGCTATAAATATGTAATAAATAATATGGGACCACAGCAATCAGAAAGGTGACCATAATAAGTTAATAATAAAAGTATGAAGTGTCCATAATAGTATGGTTAACAATGAAACAGTTTGGCCTGATGTGAACTTCGAACCAAACAAACGTGTGGGAGCCCAAACACATCACTTGGACTGGTTGGAGAGGAGCTTGTTTAAAATGACTTGCAGCCCAGGATGGAGGTCTTTCATCTGTCAAAATAAACATTTAAGCGTTACTCTGATGTTTGTTCACTGTAAACCAAGTCAAAGCAAGTGCATTTGAAGACCTCTGAACCATCGACAGAATATTTAGTTTGTGCGATTGTATGTTCATGCATATATGCATGTTTGTGTCTGGAAGTGTGTGTGTGGAAGTGTGTGTGTGTGCGTGTGCGTGTGCGTGTGTGTGTGCATGTGCTATATTCCAGCTACATGATGGTAGCCTTAGACAAGCCAGTCAGGACCAGACAAGCCAGTGAGTGACATTGTGACCAACAATCCACATTAGAGTGAGTGAGTATGGTTTTACGGCCGCTTTTAGCAATATTCCAGCAATATCACGGCAGGGGACACCACAAATGGGCTTCACACATTGTGCCCATGTGGGGAATTGAACCTGGGTCTTCGGCGTGACGAGCCAACGCTTTAACCACTAGGCTACCCCACCGCCCCCAATCCACATTAAACATGTGATACATTGACATACCATCAACCAAGTCATCGAGGTCTGACCACTCTTATCGCCTCTTATGACCAGCAAAGGTCATTTGGGTTTGCAACATGGAATCCCCAATGACTGTGGACTAAGTGTCATGCAGGATTTAGCCACATGGATACACTTGTCAGGTTACAATGACGAAGTATCAGCCAGACAAAACTTTGTCCTCCCTTCATCCCTGATGAAGGTTGACTGCAACACTAACACAGCTCCATACCAGACTCTCCATGGGTGTACAACTCATGGAGCACATTGGTTGGTTGGTTGTTGTTTAACGCCACACTCAGCAGTATTCCAGCTATATGGCAGCGGTCTGTAGATAATAGAGTCTGGACCAGACAATCCATTGATCAACAGCATGAGCATCGATCTATGCAATTGGAAACCGATGACGTGTGTCAACCAAGTCAGCGAGCCTGACAACCCGATCCCGTTAGTCGCCTCTTACGACAAGCTGAAGACCAAATCTAACCCGGATCTCAAAGTTTCCTTGTTTCCCTGTAAACTAAGGGACAAGGAAACAGAAACGGTCAAATGCTTTTCACTCTTAACTTTTAACAATCAATCAACTGTTTTACCTGACCCAGTTCAGCTAGCTTCGCCTGTATGTCACCAACTACGGCTGCATCTGCTACTGTCACAACAACATCAGCTACAAGGATGAGACCAGCAATTGAGGAGTAGACAGTGCTGTCACTGCTGATGTTCAAAATAGGAGCATCTGCAACAAACACAATCCTCCCTTATATATCAACATATCACTGCATCTTTAAGCAACACTGCAAATATAATAAGGATCAAGATAGCTACTTCACTCATCACTGAGCAAGAGAAGGCTTGAGTTAGTGAGTGATTATTGATTAATACAGCATCTGCAACCTTGCAGCAATTCATGGCAAGAGTGAGTGAGTTTTGTAATGCAGCGTTTAACAATATTCCAACAATATCACGGCGGGGGACACCAGAAATGGGCTTCACACATTGTACCCATGTGGGCAATCGAACCCGGGTCTTCAACATGACGAGTGGACGCTTTAACCACTAGGCTACCCCACCGACCCTAGTGAGAATAGTACCATACTGATGGTAGCGTTGATCAAGCCCTGTCATAGCCTAGCATACACCCAGTGGGCTCTACTCACTAGACCATGTGGCAGATCAGCCTTCAGCTACTGACCTACATCATCTGAAAACAAAGGAGTCCAGAAAGCCTTTGATCCTTACTTTGCAAGTTCTTCCGTAAGACTGGTATGCAAGCTGTGAGGTCTGTTGATATTTCAGCAGTTTTCTGGGACACATAGGAGGCTGGTAACATGTCACTGTTGCCATGGAGAAGTGCCTGAAGTTTAGAAACATTTAACGCACTACCATCTCAGTTTAGTGATAATCTAATCCTTGATTGTTTTGATGCTCAATAAATATCTGATACAATCAAGTCTGGAATCAAGATAAATGTAGGTACTTTAGATGAGTAACAGATGATTTGATCCATTCTAAAATTCCTCTCAAGATTGATTTTCAGAGGTGGAAAAGGGATTTAGACTGAGATCAGGATTTGTCTAGAAGCCCAAATATTTTTTTTCAAGCATAAACAGGTACTGTACCAGATTCCTTTCATATAGATAGAAATAACATACTGTAAAACAAGGGGATGATTTATTTACCAACAACACGAGTCACATGTATAAAACTATTCAGAACAACAGGTGCTCCATTATACTATTAGAGAACTGTGACTCGCCTCAGCCTGGAAGGTACCGGTATGTTGTCTCCCTAATTATGACACACATCTGATCAGAAAAACAACATCAACTGCTGTATAGCCAAAGAGAGGAAACTATTTCATCCTGATTCCAAGGAAAAATTATGTTCAAGATTTTACTTTCCATCATCTAATTACTTATTGCCTTTTATTTCCTAGTTTAGACTCACCTTGACAGTCGAGTGATACATCTCTTGTTGCAATGGCTTCTCAGACAGAATGCTGCTGTCCTCCTGCTCAAACAGCACCTCTGATCTGAAAACAGATTTCCACTTACATTGCTCAACAGAAATCCTACCATGACAAAATTAACTGAAGCATTATGAAACTTCAGGTATTAATACACTATTTGTCATATCATTGTAATACAGGATGTCAGGCTAGGAAGTACAAGCCAGCAGATAACTGAACTACGTCATCAACTTATGGCTTTAGTTATGAAGCTGTCTGTGAGGTCGAGGCAGCAGTTCAAAGAATACTGTCTCAATACTGGAACCCATTGGGTCTTTCTCCCAAGAATTCTCCCCATGTCATTAAATGCTGTGGGGATTACCAGTGTTTGAAATTTTTGAGGCATTTCATTAAGAAAGTCCCTAACGTCATGTCTACTTCCAAATCTCAACACAATTCAGAAATGTGGAATGTCAAATACACCTCTCAACACACCTGCTGTTCAGCCTGTTATTCCTGCATGCCTGGATTACCTCCCCTGACCTGTAGATCTTCTCCAGGAGGTATATAGGTACAGATGGAGGCCAGGTTGAGATGGAACTGATGTACTGGCAAAACATCTGGCAGAAAAATACAGGTTTCAATGAAAGGGATTGGGTACTCTAATGTTTGTTCATTTTCTTAAATGTTTGTTCAGTTTAGTTAGCATGTTTCTTCAACAGTTTGTCTATTTATAGAACACTGACACACAGCTGGGAAAATAACAAACACAGAGTCACCTAAACTTCTTTTGAAGAGTATACACCTGCGTATGTCTAATGAGGTGAGGAAGTTATTCATGCATTAAAACTCAAGTAAATTGACATTATTGCATGCTGCTGCTGATAACACTTGTATCACAGACACCCGATGCATGAGTAAACAACAACTATACCTTCTGGCAGGTGTTACTGTCAACATCAGAGAACTGGAAGAGACGGTTGTAAATATGGGAGATAAAACCAAACTGCATACACTATAAAACAAATCATTATTTCATTATTTCAAGTCAATCTAAAGCTGACAAAGACAACATACATGTATATTTCTTGAAAAACAAAAAGAAATCAGGAATATTTTCCACAATTTCCATATTTTGATCCCCAGAATTCCCACAACTCCTGACCGCCTCCGTGGTGTAGTGGTTAGAGTGTCCGCCCGGAGAGCGGAAGGTCGCGGGTTTGATCCCCGACAGCATCATACCAAAAGACGTTAAAATATGGTACTTGTTGGTCCCTGCCTGGCGCTCGGCATTAATGGGTACAACAAGGACTGGTCGGCTCGGAGTCAGTATAATGTGTCTGAGTGGGGTATTAATGCTTCACTGCGGCATGGTATCTCAGTGGGCTAGCACTATAAAACCAGCTTAAGTCTGGGCTAGTACAAGCAGCCGCACATACACATACACACGCATGCACGTCGTCATATGACTGGAATATTCTCAAGTACGACGTTAAACCCAATTTCACCTCACCTCACCTCCCACAACTCCTACTTCATCAGCATCAGTGTTTGATAAATACAGCACCTACCTGTATGCATCTCTGGTCCCAGTGTAGAGAGCTGACGAACTGGGCAGCCCTGTCCCTGATGTCTGTATCCCCGTATGTCTGTATCCCCGTCCTCCAGCAGGGTGAACACGGAGTCGAGCAAACTAGAACTGTATCCCTTTGTTCTTTGACCTCCAGCAGGGTGAACACCCAGGAAATAACCCATTGCCCGACGTCCGAGTCAGTATCAGTACATTCTTTGACTTTACAATATTAATTATGTTTTATTGAAAGATCAACAAGAAAAAGCCGCATAGTGGAAAATTACCAGCAATGACAACATATGGAGTAATCAAACCAGCCCAGACGACTCAGTGATTGATTGTGATAAATGATCCACGCTACTACATGTAATGAACTAGCTAAATGAGCCAGATCATCCATTGAGTCGTCTTAATGACAAGGAAGGTAGTTCTAGCCTGGGATAAGTCTCAGAACACATTATTGGAGTGTGAGTGAGTGAGTGAGTGAGTTTAGTTTTACGCCACACTCAGCAATATTCAAGCTATATGGTGGCGGTCTGTAAATAATCGAGTCTGGACCAGACAATCCAGTGATCAACAGCATGAGCATCGATCAGCGCAATTGGGAACCAATGACACGTGTCAACCAAGCCAGCGAGCCTGACCACCCGATCCCGTTAGTCGCCTCTTATGACAAGCATGGGTTACTGAAGATCAATATTCTAACCCGGACCCATTATTGGAAGGAACCGATACTTGAAATAAACAGAAGGCATGAGGACTGATGTGAAGTGGGTTTGTTCACTTATTTTCCACTTGAATATAGGAAATACATATTTGACAGTGAGTTGACAAGACAGTAAATTTCAAAATTTATCAATTCAAGTTAGTAATTAACCTGGCATCTGAACCCAGCAAGCCAGTGATTGACATCATGAGCAAATATCCAACCTGTCCACTAGATCTCCTTTACAACAAGCATGGGATACTACTGACTGTTATAAAGACGTCCTACATGTCATTACAAGACTGAGTTTCCTTACCAGCTGATCACAGACTCTGGCAATGAGGCGCTGCTGTTGTTAATGACAGTGAGGATTGTCTCCCCTGCTATCAACAAGGACTTGACCGGCAGACCTCAGAGTGTCCGTCTGACGAGGATCGCTCATAGTGTGAACTTGCTGACACCATGTCTGAATTGATGACTTGCTGGAATGATCAAGCAGATAACACATAATGAATGATTGGGCAAATAAATGTTTCATTTCTTCCACCAATAGAACAGCGTAATGTTATCAAATCTGGGACAGTCAAAATAATGGTTTATCATTCAGGATTTTCCAAAGAAGTAGTTTGGTTCTGTTTCACTACACATCAGAAATAAAATACTTTGGTGTCCCCTGCCAAAATATTGCTACGTGAAACCAAACTCACAGTCAGGAATCTGTAACAGGGTACGCACAAGGAATCTGTAACAGGGAGTTGAAGTTTCAGCATGTTCTTGACCAAGATGGCCTTCATCTGGATACAAGCAGCTTGAAGACTGGATGTGCTTCCACATAGGGCTTCAACCTGGTGAAGGTCATCTATGGTGATGTTGTCAGAGTGTACCTGTGTCAGCTGATGGAGTTGTATCTCTGCCAGGAGGGACATGGCCGCCGTCAGGGTGGAGATCCCCACATCTCTCTGTAGCAGCATCCATATCTGGGGCTGTACATGTAAACAGGTGAGTGACAGTGTGGAGAAACAGTATGGGAGAGAGAGTGTGTGTCAGTGTCTGTGATGTCCCAGCTATATCAGTGTCTGTGATGTCCCAGCTATATCAGTGTTTGTGATGTTCCAGCTATATCAGTGTCTGTGATGTCCCAGCTATATCAGTGTCTGTGATGTCCCAGCTATACCAGTGTTTGTGATGTTCCAGCTATATCAGTGTCTGTGATGTCCCAGCTATATCAGTGTCAGTGATGTCCCAGCTATACCAGTGTCAGTGATGTCCCAGCTATATCAGTGTCAGTGATGTCCCAGCTATATCAGTGTCTGTGATGTCCCAGCTATATCAGTGTCAGTGATGTCCGAGCTATACCAGTGTCAGTGATGTCCCAGCTATATCAGTGTCAGTGATGTCCCAGCTATACCAGTGTCAGTGATGTCCCAGCTATATCAGTGTCTGTGATGTCCCAGCTATATCAGTGTCTGTGATGTCCCAGCTATATCAGTGTCAGTGATGTCCCAGCTATACCAGTGTCAGTGATGTCCCAGCTATATCAGTCCCAGCTATATCAGTGTCTGTGATGTCCCAGCTATATCAGTGTCTGTGATGTCCCAGCTATATCAGTGTCTGTGATGTCCCAGCTATACCAGTGTTTGTGATGTCCCAGCTATATCAGTGTCAGAGATGTCCGAGCTATACCAGTGTCAGTGATGTCCCAGCTATATCAGTGTCTGTGATGTCCCAGCTATACCAGTGTCAGTGATGTCCCAGCTATATCAGTGTCTGTGATGTCCCAGCTATAACAGTGTCTGTGATGTCCCAGCTATATCAGTGTCAGTGATGTCCGAGGCTATACCAGTGTCAGTGATGTCCCAGCTATATCAGCCCAGCTATATCAGTGTCAGTGATGTCCCAGCTATATCAGTGTCTGTGATGTCCCAGCTATACCAGTGTTTGTGATGTCCCAGCTATACCAGTGTTTGTGATGTCCCAGCTATATCAGTGTCTGTGATGTTCCAGTGTGTCAGTGATGTCCCAGCTATATCAGTGTCAGTGATGTCCCAGCTATATCAGTGTCTGTGATGTCCCAGCTATATCAGTGTCTGTGATGTCCCAGCTATACCAGTGTTTGTGATGTCCCAGCTATATCAGTGTCTGTGATGTCCCAGCTATATCAGTGTCAGTGATGTCCCAGCTATACCAGTGTCAGTGATGTTCCAGCTATATCAGTGTCTGTGATGTTCCAGTTATATCAGTGTCAGTGACGTTCCAGTTATATCAGTGTCTGTGATGTCCCAGCTATATCAGTGTCAGTGATGTCCCAGCTATACCAGTGTCTGTGATGTCCCAGCTATATCAGTGTCTGTGATGTCCCAGCTATATCAGTGTCTGTGATGTCCCAGCTATATCAGTGTCTGTGATGTCCCAGCTATATCAGAGTCTGGGCCAGCAAACCAGTGGTTGATAGCATGAGCATGGAGTACACAATGACACATAATCATCTTGGTCACACATTGTGGTTTATTCTGGAGGGCGGTGGGGTAGCCTAGTGGTTAAAGCGTTGGCTCATCACGCCGAAGACCCAGGTTTGAATCCCCACATCGGTACAATGTGTGAAGCCCATTTCTGGTGTCCCCCGCCGTGATGTTGCTGGAATATTGCTAAAAGCGGCATAAAACCAAACTCAGTCAGTCAGTTATTCTGAAGTGATCGAGGTTTTGGGCTAGTTTTATGAATAGTAATGATAAATTTGAGGGAAAGTGTTCTTTAAAGCAACATCCATGCATAGGCAAACTGTAGCACAAATAAGGTTGTGAAACAGAGAAAAAAAGACCAGTCTTTATATAAGTGAGCGAAGCGAGCACAGGTTGGCAACGTATATACCCTCGCATATCAAATCATTCTTCGCCTCAATTACCCCTGCCAGCTTCCGGTTTGAACCGAGCAAGGGAAGTACGCTGGCAACCTTTGCTCACATATAGGAAAACTGGTAATTTTTCACTTAACCCTATTTGCATTTCAGTTTGCCTGTAGTCAAATGTGCCATTCCACTAACCGATCTTAACTAAGATCAATCTTAGCAAGTTATGCCAATTTTACAATAGTCTTAGCTAAAAGTTTACTTAAACTGACTGATCTTAGGCTGATCGTAGCCGGTCCCGATCTTATGATCTGATCTAAGCTAAGATCGAGACACTTTCGGGCGAGAGATAGAGAAATGCAAGGCACAAGTTACCTCTCATTTTGCATAGTCTAGCAGATGAAGGAAGTAGGTTGGAACCAAGTGAAAATGTGGAGAAAAAACATTGAGAAAAAATCTTAGGGTAGTGAGCACCTTGGTTTCAGGTGCAAGTGCATGTGAATGCTGGGTATCAGGCATAATATGTGGCTGAACCTTGTCGATCAGAATAAAATTCATGTCATGTTTTGGTTTTTTAGGGGACACTCATGGTGAAATGGTCGCTCTTCTTCTTCACACAGAATATGAAAGCCACAATTTTGTTTTCTCTACAATTGATTTTAGCGATCCTAAGTTGGTCATGAGTGAGTGAGTTTGGTTTTACGCCACTTTTAGCAATATTCCAGCAATATCATGGCAGAAGTTGGTCATGAGCAACTTACACTTTGGATCTTAAGTTTATGATTGACTTGGATAAGATTGGTTAGTGGAACAGTATGCCGATCTTAATGTCACGCTAAGATTGGGATTTTAGGGGTTTACGATTGGTGTAGGGCTAAGATCGGTTAGTGGAACGGCACCCAGGACACCAAGAATGAATGTGACAGATTTTACCCGTAAAAGATCAAACCTAACCTTTACTGCAACTAGTGAACAACTTAAACACTAGGCTACCCAATCAGCCACAAAACACTGAGGACATCAAGATGAATCTGCATACCTGAATCTGTGACCAGTCCACATTGCTGTTCCTGTGTTTCACCGCCATTTTAAGTAATATGTCAAGACAGACTGAGCAGACGTCACTGTCCGGTGACTGCAGCCAATCACAGCACTGTTTTGTTAAAACATCTTGTATGTCGTGAAGCAGATGTGTAATACAGAGCATTGAATCCTTTACTTTCAGTCCAGTCCCAATCTGCAATATGAAGTATTATCTCCCTTGAAGTATTCAAATGGCTAAAGTCAATAGAGTATTAGATTAAACATGGATTCATGTCTTGGGTCAGCAACTCTACAGTTACATCATGGCTGAATGTGAGACCTCTAAAGGAGTTTTGGCCAAGAAAGATAACAATTAGACACCACGGCTGATTAGCAATTACAAAACGAAATTAATCAAATGATGGACCGTTACTTCAACCATGTTTCTTGAAAATTTGGTAATGCTTGGTTATAAATATTAAGGTAATTTCAAAGCAATCATTTTGAATCTTAATTTTACCTTTGCAGAACTTCAGGCAGACATGTTGGTCTGGGAATGAGTGAGGGTACCACTAAGGAGCTTCACACAGTGTACCATTGTGGGGAACTGAACACAGGTCTTCAAAATAGGTGAATGCTTTAACCACTTAGCTACCCCACTGCCTAACAGTTTCATCTGTCCTATACAATATGTCAAGATCAGTGCTGTTCTCACCTGTAATATGCTGGAATGTTCTCCGTCCATCGCAGACTTCAATAAACTAACAATGGACATTCTTAAACGTTCATCACAATCACAGTCTGGTATTAAATGTTTTATTATCTGAACATATTTAGCAGAAATTAGAGGGCAGTGACTCAGCTTGGTGAGAATCCAGGATTTCTCTAGGATTACAGTGAACAATGTCTGTTTAAACGTCTTACTAAACTCTCTACTGAGAATCAACTTTTCCACACATAATAAAGTTCCATGTAGTAGATTATGTCCGTCAATCTTGTCACAAGATGGTGGGAGGCTAGCCACAAGTTTCAAGCCCTCCTGCTCTCCACTGTCGAGAGGTATGAAAGTGACAGCTGCTCGGGCGGACAACTCACGCAGGGTATACACTGGGCTGGGTAAGGACAATGATATCTTCTCTCTCAACGCTCTCTCAATTCTGCAAACAAAATTCAGAATCATAATACTTCTACATTTAAAACATCATAATAAAAATGCTAAAATGACACGATTATAGAACAACAGAAGACATTCTGCAATTACAATAAAAACTAGAGCACTTATACTGCACTATATTTCCATATAACACAGGGGCATGCACAAAGCACTACATCATCATTACCCTAGCCAATGGATCAGAACTCACACAAATTTCATTCTCTGCTCCCTGGGGAGTACACATAACAGAGGTATAAATATAGAACAGATAGATAAGTAAAGCAAACTTACCATAATATCATATAAACAAGCATTGTCACTAAGGTGACATAATCCCCCGCCGCAAATTATCAAATCAAACTTATAAAGTAATTAAAGTTTAAGATGAAGTTAAATGTCAACAAAAACATGACCAGTCAACCTCTCTTGATATCTTGCTCTTTAGTTGTTCCAACACACATATTTTCAAGACTGACTTTGACCTTGACATGAATGTCATAGTGTATGAAATATGCAAAAATAGTACTAATGAAATTGCTTATTGAAAAACATTCAAGGGAAGTCTTGAAAGTCTATGAAGAAAATCCAGTGAACCGTTCTAAAAATATCTTGCTGACAATTCAGGTTAACATGCTGAAATCTTCAAAGTGTTGTCGTGACCATAAAAATCATGTGAAAGTCACCAAAATTGACTAGGCCCTGGGCCTTCCCTAGATGAAGCTTGGTGTCAAATATGAAGAAAATCCAGTGAATATCTTTTGCGATATCTTGCTGACTATCTTAACATGCAATTTAACATGCTGAAATCTTCAAAGTGTCGCCAAGACCTTGAAAATTAAGTGAAGGTCACCAAAATCGACTGGGCCCTGCGCCTTCCCTGGATAAAGCTTGGTGTCAAATTTTAAGAAACTCCTTTGAATGTTTCTTGAGGTATCTCGCTGACAAGCATAACATGTAGGTTAATATGCTGAAATCTTCAAAGTGTCTCTGTTATCTTGATAATTAAGTGAAGGTCACCAAAATTGACTGGGCCCTGTGCCTACCCTAGATATAACTAGGTGTTAAATATGAAGAAAATCCAGTAAACGGTTCTTGAGATAGCTTAACAAGCAGGTTAACATGCTGAAATCTTCAAAGTGTCGCCATGACCTTGAAAATTATGTGAAGGTCACCACAATCGACTGGGCCCTGCGCTTTCCCTAGATAAAGCTTGTTATTGAATATGAAGAAAATCCAGTGAACGGTTCTGGAGATAGCTTAACATGTAGGTAAAAGGTTAAAGTCCCCTTGTGACCTTGAAATGAAGGTCAAGGTCACCAAACCTGACTTGGACCTTTCTTATACTGTGATGAACCTAGGTACCAAATATGAAAAGAATCTAGGGAACAGTTCTTAAGATATTCCAATTTGTACGGACGGACGGACGGACGGAGCCTAATACTATATCCCCCGCTTATAGGGGGGATAATTACAGATAGGAAGTGAGAATAACACTATCATGATCACCATCACTATGAGCTTTATGGTGAGGAAGGCAAGCTGAAAAGTGCCCAATCTACTGATGTTCAAAACAAAATCAGTGGTATGGTGCTAACAAGCCAAGGATAACAAGAGTCATCAGAAGATGACATATCCCCCCGGCCCCCATATCTTTGAAAGAACAAATCATCTGACAGTTACTTAAAGTCCAGCTTGATTTTAGACTAAGTGCAAATCGTTTCCATGGAAATCATGAAAAAAATAAATGACAAAAATCTGCAAATAGCAAAAGGCACCACTTTGGGATCTGCCTCACATATCTGCCAAGTTTTGCTGAAAGATATTAAGAAGTTTTCGCGTTGTGCTCCGGAAACAAAACCTACCCTCCCTTTTGAGACTAAGTCCAAATTGTTTTCATGGAAACTGAGAAAAATAATAAATCACAAATATCTGCAATAGCAAAGGCACCACTTTGGCATCTGCCTGACATATCTGCCAAGTTTTGCTGAAAGATATTAAGAAGTTTTCCAGTTGTGTTCCGGAAACGAAACCCATCCCTTCCTTTTTGAGACTAAGTCCGAATCATTTCCATGGAAACCGAGAAAGTAATAAATCACAAATATCTGCAAATAGCAAAAGGCACCACTTCAAGATCTGCCTCACATATCTGCCAAGTTTTGCTGAAAGATATAGAGAGGTTTTTGAGTTGTGCTCCGGAAACGAAGCCCACCCCTCACTTTTGGGATTAAGTCCGAATCGTTTCCATGGAAACCGGGAAAAATTAAAATGCCAAAAATCTGTAAATAGCAAAAGGCACAACTTTAGGATCTGTTTGATATATCTACCAAGTTTTGTTGAAAAATATTATACGGTTTTTGAGTTGTGCTCCGGAAACGAAAGCAATCCTTACTTTTGAGACTAAGTCCAAAATGTTTCCATGGAAACCGGAAAAATAAAAATGCCAAAAATCTGCAAATAGCAAAAGGCACCACTTAAGGTTCTGTTTCATACATCTACCAAGTTTTGTTGAAAAATATTGAACGGTTCTTGAGTTATGCTCCGGAAACGAAGCCCACCCCTCACTTTTGGGATTAAGTCCGAATCGTTTCCATGGAAACCGGGAAAAATAAAAATACCAAAAATCTGCAAATAGCAAAAGGCACCACTTAAGGTTCTGTTTGATATATCTACCAAGTCTTGTTGAAAAATATTGAACGGTTCTTGAGTTATGCTCCGGAAACGAAGCCCACCCCTCACTTTTGGGATTAAGTCCGAATCATTTCCATGGAAACCGGGAAAATTAAAAATGCCAAAAATCTGTAAATAGCAAAAGGCACAACTTTAGGATCTGTTTGATATATCTACCAAGTTTTGTTGAAAAATATTATACGGTTTTTGAGTTGTGCTCCGGAAACGAAAGCAATCCTTACTTTTTGAGACTAAGTCCAAAATGTTTCCATGGAAACCAAGAAAAATAAAAATGCCAAAAATCTGCAAATAGCAAAAGGCACCACTTAAGGTTCTGTTTCATACATCTACCAAGTTTTGTTGAAAAATATTGAACGGTTCTTGAGTTATGCTCCGGAAACGAAGCCCACCCCTCACTTTTGGGATTAAGTCCGAATCGTTTCCATGGAAACCGGAAAAATAAAAATACCAAAAATCTGCAAATAGCAAAAGGCACCACTTAAGGTTCTGTTTGATATATCTACCAAGTCTTGTTGAAAAATATTGAACGGTTCTTGAGTTATGCTCCGAAACGGCTCACCCCTCACTTTTTTGGATTAAGTCCGAATCATTTCCATGGAAACCGGGAAAAATAAAATGCCAAAAATCTGCAAATAGCAAAAGGCACAACTTTAGGATCTGTTTGATATATCTACCAAGTTTTGTTGAAAAATATTATACGGTTTTTGAGTTGTGCTCCGGAAACGAAAGCAATCCTTACTTTTGAGACTAAGTCCAAAATGTTTCCATGGAAACCAAGAAAATAAAAATGCCAAAATCTGCAAATAGCAAAAGGCACAACTTTAGGATCTGTTTGATATATCTATCCAGTTTTGTTGAAAAATATTGAATGGTTCTTGAGTTATGCTCGAAACGAAGCAATCCTTACTTTTGAGACTAAGTCCAAAATGTTTCCATGGAAACCGGAAAATAAAAATGACAAAATCTGCAAATACCAAAAGGCACCCCTCATGGTTCTGTTTGATATATCTACCAAGTTTTGTTGAAAATATTGAACGGTTCTTGAGTTATGCTCCGAAAACGAAGCCCACCCCTCACTTTTGGGACTAAGTCCCAATTGTTTCCATGGAAACCGGAAAAAATAAAATGCCAAAATCTGTAAATAGCAAAAGGCACAACTTTAGGATCTGTTTGATATATCTACCAAGTTTTGTTGAAAAATATTGAATGGTTCTTGAGTTATGCTCCGGAAACGAAGCCCACCCTTCTTTAAGACTAAGTCCAAAACGTTTCCATGGAAACCGAGAAAAATAAAAATGACAATTATCTGTAAATAGCAAAAGGCACCACCTTAGGTTATGTTTGACATATCTACCAATTTTGGTTAAAAAATATCAAACGGTCTTTGAGTTATGGTCCGGAAACAAAATGATTACGGACGGACGGACGGACGGACGGACGGACGGACGGACGGACGGACGGCCGGACGGACGGACGGACGGACGAGGCGGAGATGATATATATCCCACCGCATTATATGCCGTGGGATAAACATTAACAAAGATACCCCACTCAAACCCCTCTTTGTGTTTTCCCCTTCATGCCTAGAGCCATGAGGATTACAGCCTGTACAATCTGATAATGAACTCTGGTATAATATAGTCCAGGATCAAACCACAATCCTTTCACTCTCAGGACTGACACTCTCTACTTGACCACAGAAGCGGTCGTCTGACAAAGGTAACAGCTACTCACTGGTCAGTTGACTGAGACTCGGCTGGACCAAGACTGGCCAACAAGGTGAGCACCAGGAACAAAGATGGCTGCAGGCTGTTGATACTTCCAAAGTTGGTACATGTTGTCTCTAGCCTTGACAACATGGCTGACGGTAGGTCTGGGTAGTGGGCAAATAACTCTTGGAAAGTCATCATCTTCTGACTAGTGCCTGCCTTTCCCCGAGGACCAAACATGCGACTCACCATTATCCCTGAAAGAAACATCATGCATTTTGGTTGGATCAAGTCGATGTATGCTGATAAATGAGAAGCAGCAAGACACAGAAGTTGATATTTGGAACAGTGAGACTGAAACTGTAAATACAGTTGTTGTGACCGTGTGTGTGTGCGTGTGTGTGAGAGGTGAGGTGAGGTGAAATTGGGTTTTATGTCGTGCTTGAGAATATTTCGCTCATATGACGACGTGCATGCGTGTGTATGTGTATGTGCGGCTGCTTGTACTAGCCCAGACTTAAGCTGGTTTTATAGTGCTAGCCCACTTAGATATCATGCCGCAGTGAAGCATGAATACCCCACTCAGACACATTATACTGACTCCGAGCCGACCAGTCCTTGTTGTACCCATTCATGCCGAACGCCAGGCAGGGACCAACAAGTACCATATTTTAACATCTTTTGGTATGGCGCGGTCGGGGATCGAACCCGCGACCTTCCGCTCTCCGGGCGGACATTGTAACCACTACACCACGAGGCGGTCTCTGTGTGTGTGTGTGTGTGTGTGTGTGTGTGTGAGTGAGTGAGTGAGTGAGTGAGTGAGTGAGTGAGTGAGTGAGTGAGTGAGTGAGTGAGTGAGTGAGAGAGAGAGAGAGAGAGAGACAGAGAGAGTGAGTGAGTGAGAGAGAGAGAGAGAGAGAGTGAGAGTGAATGGCAGGTGAGTATGGTTTTTCAAAAGATTCAAGCAACATTATGGTGGGCAACACCAGAACTGTGGAAAACGACACCCTGGGGCCTCCACATGACAAGCCAACACTATAATCACTATGCAAACCCACTGCTCCATAACAGTAGATAAAATAACAGTATGTAATTTTTGGAATAAAATTGATATTTTATACTTATCCTGACTCATGCTCTTTTTGCTTGTCTTCTTCTTCTTGCGAACATAGTGGAACACTTGTATCTCCCTAATTGAAGCTCCCTTCAATTTAAAATCACTAATTAGTATTCACCACGAGTTACCTCCCTTCCACAAGCGCGGGAACGAGGGCGCCACCTCTACCCATGTGCCTCACTCTCTCCTCATATACTGAGCCCAACATTTGAATTTACAGGGAAATCCAAAGTGTTATGTGGGGAGGATGGGAGGGCTGACCTCATGAGTCAGGATAAGTATAAAATATCAATTTTATTCCAAAATTACATATTTTTCCTTATCCTGACTCATGCTCTTTTGCTTGTAGAATCCTACAGAACGGAGGTGGGAATATCTAATACTTTGGATTTTAATAATTAGTGATTTGAACTGTGATGATTGTAATAACCCTATGGGAACTTCATAAAGGCACTGAACTGATGAATTCCTGCTGCTAACTTATCAGCTGCCATATAAAGGTTATTACCATGTACTTATTATGATAAAGTATATATAACATTAATACAATGCTTAAGACTAATACACTTAAGCTTGTTAATATGCTAGTATAAACTCCTTAGAGTTTGTTAGCCTAAAATACTTTAAGATATAAACATAGTACTAAGCTTAAGATATGATTAAACTTAAGCTAATTATATAATAGCAAACTCTTTAGAGTTTGTTAGTTAATATACTTATATGATATAGATATAATGCTGAGCTTAAGATATGAATAATCTTTAGCTACATATATAATAGCAAAAACTCTGTAGAGTTTGTTAGCTAATATATTTTTATAATATGAGTATAGTACTGTGCTTAAGCTATAATTAACTTAAGCTACATATATAATAGCCAAACTCTGTAGAGTTTGTTAGCTAATATATTTTTATAATATTAGTATAGTACTGAGCTTAAGATATAATTAACTTAATCTACATATATATAGCAAAACTCTGTAGGGTTTTGTTAGCTAATATATTTTACAATATGAGTATAGTAGTGTGCTTAAGATATAATTAACTTAAGCTACATATATAATAGCAAAACTCCGTAGAGTTTGTTAGCTAATATATTTTACAATATGAGTATAGTAGTGTGCTTAAGATATAATGAACTTAAGCTACATATATAATAGCAAAACTCCGTAGAGTTTGTTAGCTAATATATTTTACAATATGAGTATAGTATTGTGCTTAAGATATAATTAACTTAAGCTACATATATAATAGCAAAACTCCGTAGAGTTTGTTAGCTAATATATTTTACAATATGAGTATAGTAGTGTGCTTAAGATATAATTAACTTAAGCTACATATATAATAGCAAAACTCCGTAGAGTTTGTTAGCTAATATATTTTACAATATGAGTATAGTATTGTGCTTAAGATATAATTAACTTAAGCTACATATATAATAGCCAAAACTCTGTAGAGTTTATTAGCTAATATGTTTATAATGTAACCATAGTACTAGCTTAAGATAAGATTAGACTTAAGCTAAATGTATATAGCAAAAATAAACTCCTTAGAGTTTATTAACTAATATACTTTTTATGTTAAAAACATAGTACTGAGCTTAAGATATTTAAACTTAAGCTATATATATATAACAACAAAACTCACGTCGAGTTTTGTTAGCTAATACCTTTATAATGTAAACATACTGCTTAAGATATGATGAAACTTAAGCTAATTGTATAATAAATGAAAACAACCCTTTAGAGTTTGTTAGCTAAAATACTTATATGATATAAACCTAGTATTGAGCTTATGAAGGAAAACTTAAGCTACATATATAATAGCAAGAACTCCGTAGAGTTTGTTAGCTAATACATGTTATAATGTAACCATAAAGCTTAAAATATGATGAAACTTAATGAGAAATATATAATAGCAAAAAAAACCTCTTTTAGAGTTTTGATAGCTAATATACCTATATGATATAAACATAGTACTAGCTTAAGATATGAATAAGCTTAAGTTACATATATAATAGCTAAAACTCTGTAGAGTTTGTTAGCTAATACATGTTATAATATAACCATATTGCTTAGAAATATGATGACACTTAAGCCAAATAGCAAAAAACTCTTTAGAGTTTGTTAGCTAATCTACTTATATGATATAAACATAGTACTAAGCTTAAGATATGAATAAGCTTAAGCTACCTATATAATAGCAAAACTCCTTAGAGTTTGTTAGCTAATATATTTTAATAATATGAGTATAGTACTATGCTTAAGGTATAATTAGCTTAAATTACCTATATAATAGTAAAACTCCGTAGAGTTTGTTAGCTTAATTAACTTAAGCTACGTATAAAATAGCCAAAAACTCTGTAGAGTTTGTTAGCTAATGCAATTATCATGTTACCATAGTATTACTCTTAAGATATGAATAACTTAAGGTAAATATATATAATAACAAACTCTGTAGAGTTGTTAACTTATATATTGTATGATGTAATAATCATAGTACTGTGATGATAAAAGGAACTTAAGTAAATTATATATAGCATGAAGCTATTTAGTATTGTTATAAGATAAGTAAAAATCTGTTAGATTGACTTATCTTCTCCGAGGAACTGTCAGCTGTTGTGCGAGGACCATGGGATCGAATTGGTGTATACCTGAGATGTCCTCGGTGGTGATATCTCTCAGATAATGGTTTGCAACCACCATATCGGTTTCAGAAATAAACCCCCATTATTTCAATCACATTTGTGTAGAACAATTGTAGAAGTTAGCTCTAATATCATGAGTATTAAGCTCATGGAGGGTCGAATAGGTCCATCCGCATATGCATTTAGTATGACAGTTCTGATCCAAACGGAGATATAGTACATGAGACTTCACTCTGCGTAAGTTGATGATAGAGGAAATAATCTGTTGCATTTTTTTTCCCTCCTGTTTGGTTCGGTGGAGATAAATTTACAGTGCTCTTGCTGGCCATCGTGATAGAATCATCGTATCATGGGGTCCAAGTATGTCATCCAAGTATATCATAAACCTCACTTGTGAGTGTTGGAGCACTATATTCATATCCCAGGTTGGAGTGAAACTTCCGTTTTATTCTCCAAACAGAAGCTTAGTAGGTTTACTAACCATCTAGTTGTGTTAGTCGGCTTGATGAAATTCAGCTGTAGTCTGAAACGCTGTGGATTTAGATCCACTTGTATCTTCGTCTAGGTAATTAAGCTGCGAAGTCCTTGACGATGTAGGTGCACAACCAGGTGTGTCTGTCCTCGTTGAACTTTATGTAAAATCGCAGCCTGACTGCCGATCCCTCGTCTTAACTTGACAGGGGAGGTCTCTAACTTGAAGAAGGCAGTCTAATCATGAATGTTCAGGTTAACTGGACTGTAATGAGGCTTGCTCGTTCACTGATATATAGTTGTCACTTGTGGCGTAAGTCTTGAACTGTGAATTGAGATCGACCTCTCGTGAGTGCGTTGTCCCTCAGCGGTCCAATCAGAACAAGGCATTTTGATTCTGTATAATACCCAGCTGTGATGTCACCGAGTAGCGGAAAAAAACCCCACCTTGAATAAATTCTTGTAAATTGCGTTGATATTAGCATAAACGTCGGTCTTCACCGTAGCTTCGAAGTTATCCGGTGACCATGTGTTTGAGGGTTAATGGTAACCTTGTGAAACCTCGGCAAATATCTCGCTCTGTAATTTTATGCTGGGTAGGTTATTTTCCTGGTTGTCGTGAAAGTAATTTCAGTTTTGAATATAATTCCGACTTCCTTCTATATAAGGGTACAAACAACTTGCAAGTTGTGAGCTTGTAGACTGTATACATGAATGTATCGTCATAATTGTAGAATTAACATTGAACTTGTTGTCCATATTTCTTCTCAGAAACTTTGTCGATTAAGAGTTATACTCGCTGTAACAAGGCTGCTGTTCAATTTCGATATTGAATTGTCTGCAGATATGCGTAATGGTCACGCATGTAGATAATCGTGTCGTAGATCGGGATTGCATATTAGCAATTTATCACGAATAGTTGATTTCTGTGAAGATCTATGAAATGTCGTTGACTAAATAATACAGCGACGTTCTGTGTTGTAAATAGCCTGAACAATTATCTTCGCGTAGGCTTATAGACGGCATCAACTTATGCGACGTCTTGAACGGACTGACGAGTAGCTATATATGACGAGTGGCTAGTATATAGAAACCTTGGAGGAGACTTCCTCGGTGAACGCCGGAGACTTCGCGAAGTTCTCGAAGTATCCCTTCTAGATCTTCTGGGTGAAGTAGACTTGGAGCCACTTAGCCTTCGCGACCATCGCGAAGGTGTCGAGAATCAAAAGCCGATTAGTATATATATATATATATAAATATATATATGGCTTGCCCTTGAACAGCCTCTGTGTTTAACAGGATGTGGGATCGGTGAAGCTTGCCTAAAAATGGGGCGCATGGATCATCTTATCATTTTCAGAAGTAGGTGTTCACAGTCTGGTGATAAGTGTCTAATTGATCGTTCTAGATCTATTTAGGCCAGCGAACATCGTCTCGTCATGGATTCAACAGAACCAATATACGATTGTAGTTCTTATACTTGATATCGATGATCAACTTGTCTATGGGTTGATCTTCGAGGAGACTTAGTGAGAGCGTTGATAGTTTCGTGAAGCTCTTGTATAGTCCCTCGATGTCCTTCTAGATGATGATGATCTGGATTCAGGTGTCCTTGGCATGCCTTGCTGGCTTCCTCTGCGTCGGTCGGAGAGCGGCGATATGACCTTCGCGAAGGCTTCGTGATGTCTGATGGTCGAGTCCACATCTAGGGATGAAACGCATATGGTGATGATCTATCCTGCCTTCGAAGTCGCCCTTGCGAAGGCTGTTTATCTAGGTCCTTCCGCCTTCGCGAAGGCTGTACATCTAGGTCCTTCGTCAAGGTGGTCCGTGACTTCCTTCCTTCGCGAAAGGTGACATCGTCCTGGCTGCTTCGTTGGCGGGGGTGCCTCTGGGGTGCTGTCTACGTTGGAGCCTTCAGCGAAAACTTCGGTCCCTGCTTATGCAGTCTGTAGTGGTCCTCCATCATGGTCATAATTTGCCGCATCAGGTCCTCAGGGATGGTCTGCGGCGAGGTGAATGTCGGTGCCTTATCTCGCGGTGTTAATGGAGGGGTCCACAGGAAAATCGTCCGACATCAGTGTAGAGGCATCAGGCTGCATGGTGATCTCTGCTGATGTCGTTGTAGCTAATCACCCGGTCGTTTCTTGTGGCGTCGTCGAGGGATGATGATCAGCTGATCATCCTAGAGGTCCAGGTCATCGGCTGGAACAATCTCGGTTGAGAAAGTCCTAGTAGACTTCGTTGATTTTCCCTCACAGGTCGGCTGCCCTGGGTGTCTGCGGCGTCTGCGTTGAGTGTTAGTAATGATGGGACCCTCAGGGCGATCATCGAATATCAGCGTTGGTACATCAGGCTGCATGCTGATCTGTGCCGACATCGGTCAATCTTTTGATGTACATCAGGTATGATGATCGGCTGATCATCATACAGGCCCAAACTTCGCGATGGGAGCGATCTCGGCTGTTGAGATGTAGAAAAACCCTCTAGTCTTCTGCTGCGACGATGGGATGTCTGGGGAAGCAGGATGCTTCTTGGAGATGGCGGACTCGTCCCACCTCTCCACCACTCTAAGCGGAACACCACCACGGGAGGGAGTCGGCCAACAGCAGTAGACTGGCGAGGGTTCGGTGTATCAGTCATACTAGACTCTGCATCACAGCGACCTATCTGCTGTGCGTGCCAAAGCGCCAAAGTAAATATTAATAAAAAGGTAGAATTGGATAAATTAGTACCCTTAGCTGCAATGTGAATATAATGAACATGGCGCCGTACATCATATAAAAGGTGGATCAGCAGCAGCATACAAAAGCGTAATCTGCAATAGTACAGAATTTTCATCAACGTAATCCACTGAAACAAACACGGCGTCCGTGAATAAACTGTAGAAAAACGACTAAATATCAATATATAATCGTTGAAGGATACTAGCTAAACCTCTATAGATGTCTATACGAGGTAACTAACTAAATATAATACAAAGGATATAGTTTGTCAGGAGACACAGATGCTCTCACGTCCAGCTCACTGGGCGAAGAAGGAGAGAGTGAGGCACATGGGTAGAGGTGGCGCCCTCGTTCACGCGCTTGTGGAAGGGAGGTAACTCGTGGTGAATACTAATTAGTGATTTTAAATTGAAGGGAGCTTCAATTAGGGAGATACAAGTGTTCCACTATGTTCGCAAGAAGAAGAAGACAAGCAAAAAGAGCATGAGTCAGGATAAGGAAAAATAACATACTTTTCAAACACACACTCTGTACATTCAAGTTGCTGAAAACTGTATGCAATTAATACCACACTTTAATCTCTACACAAAAGAGCAATCTTAGACAAATGCACATGAAATTGTGGGTCGGCTGGTTTACCAGAACACAATATCTTTCCGCGCTGAGGAATCACTTGGAGCACAGTAGTATTGTATTACCGAAGAGTTGTGTAGCAGCATTCCTGATGGCCCAGCTGGGAGACTCAAACCCATCGAAGATGATGATGAGGACCTCCGTGTACCGGGACATCAGGCTGAGCACCAGCGCAGCATCACCGAAAAGGGCCTTGAGGATGTTGAGGGCATGGACTTGGCAGACGTCCTGTGTCTGGTTAGACTGGGGTGTGAAGGGAGCAGACGCCAATCGGAACAGAGTGACCACTGACTGTGTCAGGAGCTGGTGCTGTGAACACATGTCAACCATGAACACATCAGACTGCAGTAGCAGCATCATCTCTCACTCATCCTCAGAGTAGCATGTGTGAATAAAGAGGATTTCTCTATTACATAACATCCACACACAATGGTCTGGCTACCATTATAGCTAAAATACATGAAACATCCCTCCCGTTATCAGAAATTTGCAGTCCGCTGCAAATGATATTGGACAGCTCAACCTTAACGACGGGCCACTATCAGTTCTGTTGTCAAGGGACGTCATAGTTCGACATTAGTGGCTTTCGACTGGCAGATATTCTGGGTCAAACAAGTCAAAGCAACCCCAATTCCCGCTTTAAATAGCGGTAATATTGGCTTTCTTGTTGGTGCTAACCTTAACAATTGCACTATTAAGACTGTTGATAGACCAAAACCAAACACTGTCATAGCTTGACATGTTGCAGGCTATGGTCTTGTCAAAGACCAAGGTCGAATATCGTCACTTTCTGTTGTGATGTCACTTGAATTGTTCGATGACGTAATTGCATTCGGGCAGTCAACCCCGTCAGAAGTTGATTTGGGTAAAGTTACAGTCAAATTCCTTCATTGTTTCCTTTTCTTTTCAACACAAATTCCATGTATTTTAGCAATAATAGCGGTAATGCTATTTTTGAGGGCATTATCATTTGCAGAAGCCCTCGGTCTTTATCAACTGCCCTCCTTCGTCGGGCAGTTAATGGAAGACCTCGGGCTTCTGTAAATGATAATGCCCTCAAAAATAGCATTACCGCTATATTAGAAACCTCAGTGGTTGATTAGGAATGACAACTAGCGCGGCACTGTATTACTTTCTAGAAAAGAGACACGTGGGACCTATCATGCCCTGGAATGCTCATCAGGATCTCTCTATACACAAGAAAGACTACATGCAAAGTGTTTATGAAAACACACTCAACTCAAATGTTACTTCACTATAACTACCACCTCATCAGCCATTACAGAATTGTACACCACAAGACAAGCCTCAGCTTAGACATGGCTACCCACAATGTGGTCTGATCCAACTAACCTGTTTCCTCCTCTGTTCAGCCTGTGCAATGACCTGCACTATGATCGGAAGCCCTGCGGATCGGCGAGTTACAGACGCCGACATCAAGTTGCTCTCCAGGCTACTCATTACCTGCAAGAAACATGTCAGCTTCTCTTCACATCTCCTGTGTGATATCAGGGACAGTATCAGGGACAGTATCACAGGCAAGATCAATATCTCCAACATAACAGTGAGTGAGTGAGTTTAGTTTTACGCCGCACTCAGCAATATTCCAGCTATATGGCGCCGGTCTGTAAATAATCGAGTCTGGACCAGACAATCCAGTGATCAACAGCATGAGCATCGATCTGCGCAATTGGGAACCGATGACATGTGTCAACCAAGTCAGCAAGCCTGACCACCCGATCCCATTAGTCGCCTCTTACGACAAGCATGGGTTTCTGAAGATCAATTTTCTAACCCGGACCTTCACAGGTCTCCAACATAACAGATCTATCTCCAGAACCACATCACAATGTGGAGCTAATAGCTGAGATATATCCAATATGGTCTCTTAAATAACAAGCGATCTCTGCACCAGATAAGATAAATATCAAGTATATGAATATAGAATAACCCTCCAAAGAATATCAGATATGCCAGCATAACATCAAAAGATATTTTCAACATGATATGAAACATTCAAACATTTCCTCCAAATATCATTCCTTATCTCCTAAATGACACCATCCAGAACAAGGCCATATAAGACAATTGCTCACTTCCGGCATACATGTTAGTGTTGGGAATTGCTTAAAATCTCATAATTGATGATTGGTTCATTACAACCGATGAATTATCGAAAATAATTGGTTAGCGCCATTTATCAAATTTTCATGGTTATGTTTCTTAATGCACAAAAAATAAAGAAAAATCATGTCGTTCTTTCGGGTTTTTTTGTGTGCAAATTGCACAAAATGCATTTGCAAATTTCACATCTTTACAGGATGACTTATGTTAGGAACATAAATTACCTGGACTCTTTAAGATAAATTCAATCATGACTTGGAATGAGCTAGTAGTGCGTATGAAATGTAACAGACAAAACCAACCTTGTGAAAAAAAAAATTGTTAATGCAAACAAGTGTTCCAAAATTGTTTGTGTTCGATTATGAGAAAACATGATCGATTGCTTGGTCGTTTAGTCACTGCGATCAATCTTCGATTATTTCAATTAATCGGACCACCCCTAATATATGTACACCGAGCTGTACCTGGTGTAGAATCTCTGCCGGTATGGCTGCTAGAGCAGGGTCATCACAGGACATCAGAACTGTGCAGTACTGCAGGAACCCTTGGCGGCATCCTTCAATGGCACCCTAAAACCACCATTAAGAGACGAGTCAAGACCAACTTGTACAATGTAACTACATCATATATATTCCATACTCCATTTCTATTTGTTTACTTTCATTGTTTCCATTACGAACTGCCTACCCTGATCCGACAGCTGGTGAGGACTTGAACATACACCTGGCCCACACTCTGTAGCTCCTGTAGCCATGTTGGTCTGTCCCCGGTCCTGGACGTCACCAGACAGGCGGTCACCTCACCCAGACAGGTACAGCTCTCCTGCAAGGATGGGGAACAGTCAACAATAACATAATTAAACAAGAGTAATCAGAAGATGACATATCCCCCCCCGGCCCCCACATCTTTGATAGAACAAATCATCTGACAGTTACTTAAGTCCAGCTTGATCTTAGACTAAGTGCAAATCGTTTCCATGGAAATCATGAAAAACATAACTGACAAAAATCTGCAAATAGCAAAAGGCACCACTTCAAGATCTGCCTCACATATCTGCCAAGTTTTACTGAAAGATATTGAGATGTTTTTGAGTTGTGCTCCGGAAACGAAAACCTACCCCTCCCTTTTGGGACTAAGTCCGAATCGTTTCCATGGAAACCGAGAAAAATAAAAATGCCAAAAATCTGCAAATAGCAAAAGGCACCACCTTAGGTTATGTTTGACATATCTACCAATTTTTGTTGAAAAATATCGAACGGTCTTTGAGTTATGCTCCGGAAACAAAATGATTACGGACGGATGGACGGACAGATGGACGAGGCGACGACTATATCCCCACGCATTACATGCCGGGGGATAACAGTAATCAAATCATACTACCAGGCTTACCTAAGGTAACACAATGCCTAATGTGTCATAAAGTAATGCCATTTTGGCACATGTAACTAATATGAGATCATGATTATTACACGATGTATCTCCAAAAACTGAAAATGTATTTGAATGAATATTGTTCTGATACAAAAAGCCATCATTCAGGCCTACGAAGAAATGGCTGCTCAATGGAGTCAAGTTTTAAGAGTCTCAGACATGCTGATCATCAAGATTTATAATTCTTAACTCACAATCTACCAGGATACCTCACTCACTCTTCCTGACAATAGGGCTCTAGCCACACACACCAGAACCCCTGCCGCGATATTTCTGGAATACTGCTAAAAGTGGCGTAAAACTGAACTCACTGACTCACTCACACATCGTCAACAGCATTTGTCACTCTCTTCCCAACAAAACGTTTCACAACCCCTCACAGCAAAGCACTCTCACCTCTAATAAATCAATCCCACCACTCCCCAGTCCTCTTCCCTTACCTTGAGGTTGACCCAGCACCAGGACAACATGAACTGGAACTCTGGTGTCAGTGACAGCGATTCTCCTTCTCGCTCCCCAGATACAAGGCTATCAAGGGCAACCCCCAGCTCTGCAAACGATGGGCAGCTCTCTGTTCACAAAGAGGGAGACTACAGATCAAAACCTTAACCTGCATGGGTGGAAAGATCTTGAAGCAATTTTGGAAGAAATAATTCATAGCTGTGAGCTGTAATGTTACACATCAACAGAAAGCAACTCTTAAAGATATGAAATAAATTTATTTTTCGGTGAAAAAGAAAACATTTCGATAACAATGTATGTCTGGTCCAGTCTGGTACAACCTTCACCACACACCTTTCTCATTGCCCCCTGAGGTCACTGACAAGGTCATCTGAATCACCTTCACATTGACCTTAAGCAGATCCAGAAGCAGACTAACAGGAAGGTCAAGGTCATGTCGAGATTGAAGAGACTTCAGACATAATGCAATTCCCTGTATCAAACCTGTGATAAGAAATATATGAAGTTGTAGCCTGTTATAAGAATTACTTGTATCATGAAGCATTCATCACAATGTTAGTGTCGATTTAATTTAAAATAAATCTCTGTTTACTAAATTTGAGATAACAGCTGGAAATTAGCTGCAACCCCTCCCTCCATGCCCATCTGAACAAATAGTTTACATCATATTTGCGTATTTAACCTTTAACTGACCATTTGTGCTCACCATGTATGGGACTTTCTCTGGACGCCAGGACCAGATTTGTCTCGGCCAGCGCCAGAGCTTTCTGTGTCTCTTCTAGCAGGAACTGCAGAAACTGGGAATGAGCACTGGACGAGTCCATCAGTGTGCATGTAAAGCCTTCTCCTGACCCTCGGCTAAACACTGCCCCCTGCTCACATGCATACCTGGGGACAGAGTCAATGTGTGGCTTCGTCATGTTAACTCTGACTTACACAGCGACAGATATATTATGGCGTACCTCCTCAGTGTTGGCAATGTAGAAATTGATCACAGACCCTTACATAACTTTTGTCGAGCCCTCGAGTAAAACGTGGTGATAAAGGATTTCGTATTCCATCTGAAATATGGTTACTTCCCAACAAATCATCAGTCAAATCTTCTAAATGTACGGACAACTGATTCATCACAGGTGTGACATCCAGCATGTCACAACAGCAGGCAACAGATAAACAAAACTGGTGGAACATGACCATATGCCGAACACTTCAACACATATAGGCATGGTAATCAGGCCACTTCTCCCAGATGGTTTAAACTTATAATTCTTTTGTAAACAGACTGAGAACCTGTTACAAGATGTTTATTCCACTAAAAGACGGACAAAGGCGTGACAGGATGTTGTTACACGGACCATCCATAACCAGGTCATACCACATATTGTAACAAAAGCCATGCCTCATGAAAAACAGTAGTCCGTTTCACGGTCCCTGAACTGCATTATTTTCCCTTCCGCCCAGCCCATTCTGCAATGCTGAAGTCCCTAATGAAGCAACGTCTAGATTTCCTCAGGTACAATCTCCCATCTCACTGGGTATCCTTTTCAATTTAACAGGAATTATTGGTTTCTATCAAACATATATATTCAGGGACTAAGCTTAAATAAATAGATACAGCTCTTGTTTCTTGTTACAGAAAATCTGAGTACGTCTGCTGTAACCTGTTGACTTGTACGATCCCAATACTGGTCCTCCAGACAGTTCCACCAATACCAGGATACAGGCTGTCGTAGTTAAGTGACAATGAATGTACAGACTACAAACATGACTGGAGGACATGCTGTGAACTCACTTGACAAAGACGATGTTACAGATGAGGGCGCCACTCTGGGTCTCATACGGCCGAGGGCTGCTGCAAAGATGCAGAGCACTAGAGAGAAGATGATAAGCCAGATCCTCGGGGTGGTAGCCTGGTTGTTGGGGCGCGGACCATGGGAAGAACCGCATCAGGAGCCCAGCACTCAACTCTTGCACCTGATATCAAGACAATACTGCCTTTTCTTAAAACTGTTACCGGGAACTTCTTTACAGATAATGAAATCACTTAAAAGATCATTACTGGCAAACAAGGATAAGTTGAGCACCGACCTGACACTTGACCGGCATTAGCATGTATGAGTGCCGCCCACTGGTGCTTGCCATTGTTAGCGAAGGGGCCCCAGGTTGTCCACGATCAAGTGTAGTGCGACTTGCTACACCGACGTGAGAGTGTTATGAGCAAAACGTATGCAGCTACGTGCGGAATCAATTTCATCGTCATACAATGCACGTGCACTTGCCTACATCTGCTCTACCTTTCACAAACCAAATGGGTTTGCTCCTTGCCGTGCACCGCCCACTTCTCGTAAATGTGTTCTCTCCGGCGGTCCAACTTATCCTTGTTTGCCAGTAAGTATATGTAGAGACATCTCTTGGTTTGTTTTTGGTGTAAAGTTTGTATACTGAAACACTTTGAAAACTCAAACAAGAATACAAAGTCATCAATATCCCAGTAAAGTTTGTATACTGAAACACTTTGAAAACTCAAACAAGAAGACAAAGTCATCAATATCCCAGTACACCACCAGACCAATCTATGTGCCAAGTTTTGTGAAAAAATAGTGAACGGTTTTAGAGTTCAGCTCCGGAAAAGAGCACTACCACCAATTTCATTCTAAGTCAAACTTGTTGCCATGGAAACGCCAAAAAATATTTAATTCAGGATTCCAAAATTACCAAAAGGCACCAGTACACCACCAGATCTATCCATGTGCCAAGTTTGGTGAAGAAATATTGAATGGTTTTAGAGTTCTGCTCCGGAAAAGACAAATGCGCACGGACGGAGTCCATTTTAATACCCCCTGCAAAACGCGTTGCGGGGGATAATAAGTAACTTAAACTCATATTTATATCAATAAATTTTGGTGGACAGCACGGAATGATACTGCACAGTTGCAACTAACACTTCCCTGTTATACATGTACATATACTCAACTCCAAAAGAAACGCGACAACCAGTCTCATATAAAACAAGGTACCAGTTACTTGTGGTCGTGATAGCTAACACAGCGCTCGAGTTCTAAAACAAATGCAATAAACAACAACTGATATGGCTTTTTGTAAGTTTATAACTGACATTAAACAATGGTAACCGGGATGTTAGACTGAATGGCTTTTACCACATTGTCTTGTTATCATGTCATAAAGAACCGTCAGTATCGGGTATGGCCGCCATTATTGTTGACGACAGCCAAACAACGCCTCCTCATGGACATGAACAGATGCCTTATGAAGGCACGGGGGGTGTTGTTGTACACATCTAAAACTGATTGTCCAAGCTGACGCCAATTCCGTGGGAGAACTGGTCTCTGACGTAGACGTCTGTCAATCTCGTCCCACAGGTGTTCCACGGGGTTGAGGTCTGGGCTAAGAGCTGGCCAGTTCATTGTCTGGATGTTATTGACAGTCAGGAATTGTTGGGTGAGTCTGGCGGTGTGTGCTCTCGCGTTGTCCTGCTGGAGAACCAACTGGGATCTGGCAGCGAAAAGCGGGCTGACAACAGGCCGCAACATCTTATCCACATAACGTTGTGCAGTCACATCTTCCACGACCTAAACTGTTGGTTTGGAAGATGACAGGTTGTACTCGCCTGCCCCAACTGATTCCTCCCCAGATCATAATGGAAGGCCCTCCCCAACGGTCAGTTTCAAAAACACAGGGGTCACGGAATCGTTAATTTGTTCGACGCCAGATCCTGACACGGCCGTCAGCAACATGGGTACAAAATTGGCTCTCATCAGTGACGCCACTGCATTTGTCTCCAATTCAGGTGCTGTCGTGCCCACAGAAGCCTCTGTTGTTGATGTCGAGCAGTTAGGATAGGAACAACATAAGGCCTACGACAGTGTAGTGCGTTTGCCCTTAAACGTCAACGTATTGTAGCCGCAGAAACAGGCCGATTGTGGATACCAATGGTTTGATTGGCTGTCGTCGTGGCTTGAAGGAATCTGTTACGTAAATGGGAGTTCACAATGTAACGATCCTGTCTGTTGGTCGTCACCCTCGGTCGACCACTTCGCTGATGGTCTCTTACGGTACTGGTTTGGTTATGGCGTTCCAGAAGTATGTAAATGGTTGCACGATGGACACCAAGTTGTTGTGCAACATTAGGGACTCTCATGCCAGCATCAAGCATCCCTAGCGCCCGTAATCTCGCATCATTATTCAGTCGTGGCATTGCTTATCAGATTGTCTTCGAACGCTGCATTCGGGTTCTGCTGATTCACACGTGCTAATTGTGGATGTGACATAAGTTTCACATGCACGTGCAGGTAATGACAAGGGGAATGTGACATAAGTTTCACATGCACGTGCAGGTAATGACAAGGGGAATGTGACATAAGTTTCACATGCACGTGCAGGTCATGACAAGGGGAATGTGACATAAGTTTCACATGCACGTGCAGGTAATGACAAGGGGAATGTGACATAAGTTTCACATGCACGCGACAGGTATGTGAACATCACATAAGTTTCACATGCACGTGCAGGTAATGACAAGGAATGTGACATAAGTTTCACATGCGTGCAGGTAATGACAAGGGGAATGTGACATAAGTTTCACATGCACGTGCAGGTAATGACAAGGGGAATGTGACATAAGTTTCACATGCACGTGCAGGTAATGACAAGGGGAATGTGACATAAGTTTCACATGCACGTGCAGGTAATGACAAGGGGAATGTGACATAAGTTTCACATGCACGTGCAGGTAATGACAAGGGGAATGTGACATAAGTTTCACATGCACGTGCAGGTAATGACAAGGGGAATGTGACATAAGTTTCACATGCACGTGCAGGTAATGACAAGGGAATGTGACATAAGTTTCACATGCACGTGCAGGTAATGACAAAGGGAATGTGACATAAGTTTCACATGCACGTGCAGGTAATGACAAGGGGAATGGGACATAAGTTTCACATGCACGTGCAGGTAATGACAAGGGGAATGTAACATAAGACAAGCAGGTAATGACAAGGGAATGTGACATAAGTTTCACATGCGTACAGGTAATGACAAGGGGAATGTGACATAAGTTTCACATGCACGCAGCAGGTAATGACAAGGGGAATGTGACATAAGTTTCACATGCACAGGTAATGACAAGGGGAATGTGACATAAGTTTCATATGCGCAGGCAATGACAAGGGAATGTGACATAAGTTTCACATGCGTGCAGGTAATGACAAGGGGAATGTGACATAAGTTTCACATGCGTGCAGGTAATGACAAGGGGAATGTGACATAAGTAATGACAAATGACAAGGGGAATGTGACATAAGTTTCACATGCGTGCAGGTAATGACAAGGGGAATGTGACATAAGTTTCATATGCGATGCAGGTAATGCAGGTAATGCGTGCAGGTAATGACAAGGGAATGTGACATAAGTTTCACATGCGCGCAGGTAATGACAAGGGAATGTGACATAAGTTTCACATGCACGTGCAGGTAATGACAAGGGGAATGTGACATAAGTTTCATATGCACGTGCAGGTAATGACAAGGGGAATGTGACATAAGTTTCATATGCACGTGCAGGTAATGACAAGGGGAATGTGACATAAGTTTCACATGCACGTGCAGGTAATGACAAGGGGAATGTGACATAAGTTTCACATGCACGTGCAGGTAATGACAAGGGGAATGTGACATACGTTTCATATGCACGCAGGTAATGACAAGGGGAATGTGACATAAGTTTCACATGCGTGCAGGTAATGACAAGGGGAATGTGACATGTGACAACGCAGGTAATGACAAGGGGAATGTGACATAAGTTTCATATGCATGCGTGCAGGTAATGACAAGGGGAATGTGACATAAGTTTCATATGCACGCGTGCAGGTAATGACAAGGGAATGTGACATAAGTTTCACATGCGCGCAGCAGGTAATGACAAGGGAATGTGACATAAGTTTCATATGCACGCAGCAGGTAATGACAAGGGGAATGTGACATAAGCTTCACATGCACGCAGGTAATGACAAGGAATGTGACATAAGTTCTACATGCATGCAGCAGGTAATGACAAGGGAATGTGACATAAGTTTCACATGCACGTGCAGGTAATGACAAGGGGAATGTGACATAAGTTTCACATGCACGTGCAGGTAATGACAAGGGGAATGTGACATAAGTTTCACATGCACGTGCAGGTAATGACAAGGGGAATGTGACATAAGTTTCACACATGCGTGCAGGTAATGTGACATAAGTTTCACATGCACGCAGGTAATGACAAGGGAATGTGACATAAGTTTCACATGCACGCAGGTAATGACAAGGGGAATGTGACATAAGTTTCACATGCACGCGTGCAGGTAATGACAAGGGAATGGGACATAAGTTTCACATGCACGTGCAGGTAATGACAAGGGAATGTGACATAAGTTTCACATGCACGTGCAGGTCATGACAAGGGGAATGTGACATAAGTTTCACATGCACGTGCAGGTAATGACAAGGGGAATGTGACATAAGTTTCACATGCACGTGCAGGTAATGACAAGGGGAATGTGACATAAGTTTCACATGCACGCATGCATAAGGTTCACATGCATGAATGACACAGGGAATGTGACATAAGTTTCACATGCGCGTGCAGGTAATGACAAAGGGAATGTGACATAAGTTTCACATGCGCGTGCAGGTAATGACAAAGGGAATGTGACATAAGTTTCAATGTGACATGAAAGGGAATGTGACATAAGTTTCACATGCGATGCAGGTAATGACAAGGGAATGTGACATAAGTTTCACATGCGTGCGGCAGGTAATGACACAAGGGAATGTGACATAAGTTTCACACATGCGCGTGCAGGTAATGACACAGGGAATGTGACATAAGTTTCACATGCGATGCAGGTAATGACAAGGGAATGTGACATAAGTTTCACATGCGCGTGCAGGTAATGACAAGGGGAATGTGACATAAGTTTCACATGCACGCAGGTAATGACAAGGGAATGTGACATAAGTTTCACATGCGTGCAGGTAAATGACACAGGAATGTGACATAAGTTTCACATGCGCACGCAGGTAATGACAAGGGAATGTGACATAAGTTTCACATGCGCGTGCAGGTAATGACAAGGGGAATGTGACATAAGTTTCACATGCACGCGCAGGTAATGACAAGGGAATGTGACATAAGTTTCACATGCGCAATGCAGGTAATGACAAGGGGAATGTGACATAAGTTTCACATGCGCGTGCAGGTAATGACAAGGGAATGTGACATAAGTTTCACATGCGTGCGCAGGTAATGACACAGGGAATGTGACATAAGTTTCACATGCGTGCAGGTAATGACAAGGGGATGTGACATAAGTTTCACATGCACGTGCAGGTAATGACAAAGGGGAATGTGACATAAGTTTCACATGCGTGCGGCAGGTAATGACAAGGGAATGTGACATAAGTTTCACATGCGTGCAGGTAATGACAGGTGACATAAGTTTCACATGCGATGCAGGGACAAGGGGAATGTGACATAAGTTTCACATGCACGCAGGTAATGACAAGGGGAATGTGACATAAGTTTCACATGCGCGTGCAGGTAATGACAAGGGAATGTGACATAAGTTTCACATGCGTGCAGGTAATGACAAGGGAATGTGACATAAGTTTCACATGCGCGTGCAGGTAATGACACAGGGAATGTGACATAAGTTTCACATGCGTGCAGGTAATGACAAGGGAATGTGACATAAGTTTCACATGCGTGCAGGTAATGACAAGGGAATGTGACATAAGTTTCACATGCACGCAGGTAATGACAAAGGGAATGTGACATAAGTTTCACACGCACGCAGGTAATGACAAGGGGAATGTGACATAAGTTTCACATGCGATGCAGGTAATGACAAGGGGAATGTGACATAAGTTTCACATGCGATGCAGGTAATGACACAGGGAATGTGACATAAGTTTCACATGCACGCAGGTAATGACAAGGGAATGTGACATAAGTTTCACATGCACGCAGGTAATGACAAGGGGAATGTGACATAAGTTTCACATGCACGCAGGTAATGACAAGGGGAATGTGACATAAGTTTCACATGCACGCAGGTAATGACAAGGGGAATGTGACATAAGTTTCACATGCACGTGCAGGTAATGACAAGGGGAATGTGACATAAGTTTCACATGCACGTGCAGGTAATGACAAGGGGAATGTGACATAAGTTTCACATGCACGTGCAGGTAATGACAAGGGGAATGTGACATAAGTTTCACATGCACGTGCAGGTAATGACAAGGGGAATGTGACATAAGTTTCACATGCACGTGCAGGTCAATGACACGGGGAATGGGACATAAGTTTCACATGCACGTGCAGGTAATGACAAGGGGAATGTGACATAAGTTTCACATGCACGCAGCAGGTCATGACACGGGAATGGGACATAAGTTTCACATGCACGCAGGTAATGACAAGGGAATGTGACATAAGTTTCACATGCACGCAGGTAATGACAAGGAATGACATAAGTTTCAGGCACGTGCAGGTAATGACAAGGGAATGTGACATAAGTTTCACATGCACGCAGGTAATGACAAGGGGAATGTGACATAAGTTTCACATGCACGCAGGTAATGACAAGGGGAATGTGACATAAGTTTCACATGCACGCAGGTAATGACAAAGGGGAATGTGACATAAGTTTCACATGCACGCAGGTGACAAGGGGAATGTGACATAAGTTTCACATGCACGCAGGTAATGACAAGGGAATGTGACATAAGTTTCACATGCGTGCAGGTAATGACACGGGAATGTGACATAAGTTTCACATGCACGCAGGTAATGACAAGGGAATGTGACATAAGTTTCACATGCACGTGCAGGTAATGACACGGGGAATGTGACATAAGTTTCACATGCACGTGCAGGTCATGACACGGGGAATGGGACATACGTTTCACATGCACGTGCAGGTAATGACAAGGGGAATGTGACATAAGTTTCACATGCACCTGCAGGTAATGACACAGGGAATGTGAAACAAGTTTCACATGCACGTGCAGGTAATGACACGGGAAATGTGACACAAGTTTCACATGCACGTGCAGGTAATGACATGGGGAATGACACAAGTTTCACATGCACGTGCAGGTCATGACCAGGGGAAAGTGATAGCGGTGCGACACTGGTTGTGTTTGGGTATAGTGATTATGCGTTTTGCCAGGGACAGTGTTGATATGAACAAACACAGCGCGGTGACAGAAATGGCAGCAAGGTGGAATTTTGTCTGTGGAATGCCTGCGTAAGACATCCATACAACCATAATCAGTACTTATTATCTCAGAAAATGCACATGTCAAATACTATCACCACGAAGGAAATGACAACCGAGTCTCGCGTTACTTTTGGAGTTTAGTATATATACACTCACTGAGTGAGTGAGTGGGTTTAATTGAAGTCACGTCAGAATTATTTCAGCCATATTGATATAATCACTGAAAAAAGGTGAAAGCTTAAGTTTATACTGTTGTCCATTATTTACTTTGAAATGTATCAAAATGACAGAGTAAAGAATCACAAATATCAATCAATGGACTGAAAGTGTGACCTCACCTCATCAGCACCGTCTGTAACACAAGTGCACACTGCAACCATCGATCTCCAGCTGAGGAAATCACACAGACCCAGGCGGTGAGCGTACTCAACAATCTGTACACACTTCTCTGAAACAAAACCCCACTGTCACAATCAAGATTCATTTTTTGAATGGTGGTGGTATTGTCTTCAAGCTTAATTTGTCAACACTGAAGGATAATAGGTAAATGAAAACATTTACAATGCAGAAGCATTATAAGTATATTAATACTGTAACAACACCTCTCTGGGACAATGACATGGTGATATATGGTGTGACTGCATATTCAAGAATACTGTACCCATCCAGCAACATAGGGGTGTCACGATACACCAATCTCACGATACGATACGTATCACGATTTTAAGGTCACGATATGATACGTATCGCGATACATAACTTTCGCGCCTTTTCATAGCATTACCTTACCGGCAACGTACACGCTTGCTGATTGGTCCATCAAAATAGTCTAGCCAATCACAAAAGCTGTTAGTTTCCAACCTATTTTTTGAGTAAACTAGCTACATCTATTTATCGGAGCGGTCTCGTATAATTTTACTATCAAGACTTTGAAGGAGATGGATATAGCATAAAAATTTGAATCGATAAAGTTTTAAAATAGGAATCGATACACGCAAGCATGTATCGCGTATCGTATCGTCAGTAAAAATGTATCGATGCATCGATACATTCGCGTATCGCGACATCCCTGCAGCAACATGTATGTGTGAGTGATTGCTTCTACTAATGAACACTAATACCGGTCTGTATTTCTACCCACATGCTATGCTGCAGTTTTAACATGGATGCGCCACTCAGACACTGCCCCCAGAGCCAACCAGTCCTTGTTATATCCCCTTACTCCAAACAGCAGGCAGGGTAACAAGAAGTACCATTTTGAATTCTCCTTTGATAAGGTGCAGCCAGGGAAGGAACAAACCAACGAGCGAACCTTTTGCTCTCTATATACTGAACCATGGAGGTGATCCCAAATCTCTTATAAAACAAAGCTGCTCGTGTGATGCAGTATTTCCAACTGTTTATTGGTCTACCTTGAGCCTGCCCCCTCAGGTGCGTCCCTCCTCCAGGCACATACACCAGAGTGTCGTAGATGATGTTGAGGATCTCCAGGCAGGTCTTCCGGCGCTGGAAGCTGGCGCCCGGCAACAAGCTGCCAATCAATGTCCCATGCAGCCAGTCAAGGAACTCCAGCGACCTGACTGTCAACACAACATAGTGGAGATGTAACCTGGCAACCTCCATAGAGGAGATGCACTTCACACAGCACAGATACAGTCTCTGTTTGTATTAATCAGAATTGTAAACGTTAGTTAATCTAGGGAATGAGGGCTTCCTATGAACATCAGTTAATCTTATGTGGTTGATCTCGTATTTGATTATTTATGTGGTTGATCTCGTATTTGATTATTTATGTGGTTGATTTCATATTTGATTATTTATGTGGTTGATTTCATATTTGATTATTTATGTGGTTGATTTCGTATTTGATTATTTATGTGGTTGATTTCATATGTGGTTGATTTTGTAATTATTTTATTTGATTTCATGTTATTTATGGTTGATCCCATGTGGTTGATTTCATATTTGATTATTTATGTGGTTGATTTCGTATTTGATTATTTATGTGGTTGATTTCATAATTGATTATTTATGTGGTTGATTTCGTATTTGATTATCTATGTGGTTGATTTCATATGTGGTTGATTTTGTAATTGATTATTTAAGTGGCTGATCCCGTATTTGATTATTTATGTGGTTGATCTCGTATTTGATTATTTATGTGGCTGATCCCGTATTTGATTATTTATGTGGCTGATCTCGTACTTGATTATTCATGTGGCTGATCCCGTATTTGATTATTATTTACCATATTTTTATCCATTTCAAATCTATATGGGTGAGAAGGATCCAACAATTACAGTTGTTAAATACAAATAATAACAAGCATTGTCACTAAGGTGACATAATCCCCCGCCTCAAATTATCAAATCAAACTTATAAAGTAATGAAAGTTTAATATGAAGTTAAATGTCAACAAAAACAGGACCAGTCAAACTCTCTTGATATCTGGCTCTTCTAACACACACATATTTTCAAGACTTTGACCTTGACATGAATGTCATAGTGTATGAACTATGCAAAAATAGTACTAATTAAATTGCTTATTGAAAAACATTCAAGGGAAGTCTTGAAAGTCTATGAAGAAAATCCAGTGAACCGTTCTTGAAATATCTTGCTGACAATTCAGGTTAACATTCTGAAATCTTCAAAGTGTTGTCGTGACCTTGAAAATTAAGTGAAGGTCACCAAAATCGACTGGGCCCTTCGCCTTCCCTAGATAAAGCTTGGTGTTGAATGTGAAGAAAATCCAGGGAAAGGTTCTTGAGATAGCTTAAGATGCAGGTTAACATGCTGAAATCTTCAAAGTGTCGCCAAGACCTTGAAAATCTTGTAAAGGTCACCACATTCGACTGGGCCCTGCACCTTCCCTAGATAAACCTTTGTATTGAATATGAAGAAAATCCAGTGAACGGTTCTGGAGATAGCTTAACATGCAGGTAAAACGTTAAAGTCCCCTTGTGACCTTGAAATGAAGGTCAAGGTCACCAAACCTGACTTGGGCCTTTCTTATACTGTGATGAACCTAGGTGCCAAATATGAAAAGAATCTAGAGAACGGTTCTTCAGATATTCCAATTCGTACGTACTGATGGACGGACGGATGGAGCCTAATACTATATTCCCCGCTTCGCGCTAAACGCGCGGCGGTCGATAATTAGGTTCAGAAGAGAGGCCAAAGGGAAAACCTCTATCAGGCATGTTCTACACACGCCATTAGCTAGCCCTGTCAGGTTTAGAGACAGAGATAGTTGCAACATTAGGTGCAATGAAGCATATGTCCACTGTTATAGTATCAATAACATTATCACCATCAATGACTTCAAAACAACATCAACAGTATCGACCTACCCAGCTCCTCCTGCTTCTTCTTGATCCCTGCCAGACAACCATCGCGAAGTCGCATCATCAGTTTCTTCATGCTGGAAGCGAGGTTTTGTCGGAAAGGAGCAGAATCTACCCGCAGACACAAGGGGAGACCACTCTGTAGTAGATCTACCTCTCTCTCAGTGAGCAGTTCTGCAGGAGTATAAAAATATTGTTAGCTCCACTTACATCAAAAGCGTGTGTCAACCAGTTAGCAGATGTAAATTTACAGCAGTGAGCTATATCACATATTCCTGTCAAACTTAAGAGTCAGGATGGACAAATCATTGGCTGACATTGTCATCCAAACAGCAAGTCACATACTTAACTACCTATAGCATGTCATTTGAGCTTCTGACAAGCAGTATTAACCAAAATATTTCTGTCCTGAACTCTCTGGGGACAAACCGGAGCCATGGTTGAGGGGGGTGAGGAGGTGAAGGGAAAGGAGGGAGGGTGTATTTTGGTGCAACCAACACTGCTATTTGAAACATGTCTGATTGTCAACAAGAGTACCTGATTTTTTCGTCACACAAAGAAAAGCTACAGCCTCCCCTCTGACTTCTTCCTCTCTGGAGTACAAAGCTTCAGTCAGCAGTTCAACATTCTGGAAATAAAAACACGAACTTCATACCTTTGAATTGTGTGCTTGGTCCTATCATTGCATTATAGTCTCAATCGTCAGAATCCATTGTTATGTAAAAGACAAACTAGTCCTATTACAGAAAAAGAAACCCACTGAACCTTGATACGGAATAATTGAGACCAGGGTTATGTATGTATGTATGTGAGTGAGTGAGTGAGTGAGTGAGTGAGTGAGTGAAGAGTGAGTGAGTGAGTGAGTGAGTGAGTGAGTGAGTGAGTGAGTGAGTGAGTGAGTGAGTGAGTGAGTGAGTGAGTGAGTGAGTGAGTGAGTGAGTGAGTGAGTGAGTGAGTGAGTGAGTGAGTGAGTGAGTGAGTGAGTGAGTGAGTGAGTGAGTGAGTGAGTGAACGATTTAACCACTTGGCTACCCAACCGCCCCTAGGGTTACGTAAACCTGTGAGAGATGGTATGATCAACACTGGCCAGTGGGAATCTTAATCAGCAATATCACACACATATCTATCATCATTCCAGCTGTCCCTTTTGACCAGCATCAGGTTCTTGGAACACACTCTGACATTGGTGTAAATGTGGTATACTGTAGAGATTCAAAACTTACGAAATCCTGTTCCTGGAGACCCTTATTGTTCCGGATGCTACGGAGAAGGACCAGCCAGACGTACAGGGCTCGTCTCCTGCGAGCCTCACACAGACTCTCACGTCGCAGCTCACACACATGGTGCGGCAGGAACGTTGCAGATGCTGGCAGCAACTTTAACGTCAGTGGGATCCAATAATCACACATCTTCCTGAACAGCAGTCTAAGGGAAAAAACAAAAAGTACTCCAAGTGAACATACCGTGCAAGACAAAATTCATAGTGTAAAAAGCATAGATATCAATACAGGTAGACAATCATACAGCAAAATGTAATGAATGCATCTGAAGTGTTGGTAAATTGTGCTCTGTCTTTAACAGTATCAAAGGAACAGAGAGTGAGTGAGTGAGTGAGTGAGGTTTTACGCCGCACTCAGCAATATTCCAGCTATATGGTGGCGGTCTGCAAATAATCGAGTCTGGACCAGACAATCCAGTGATCAACAGCATGAGCATCGATCTGCACAATTGGGAACCGATGACGTGTGTCAACCAAGTCAGCGAGCCTGACCACCCGATCCCATTAGTCGCCTCTTACGACAAGCATGGGTTACTGAAGATCAATATTCTAACCCGGACCTTCACGGGTCATTAAAGGAACAGAGTTGTATATACTGAAAACTGTGTCACAAAGCAGACCAATGTCATAAAATCAACAGGATTCTCTGACAGAACCCTGAGCAAAATATAACAACCAAATCTAACTCACATGGGTTCTTCAGCCAGTCAGCTGTTAGTTTTCACAAATGATTTTCATTCCGTCACCTGACTCTGAAAGTTTTGCCTGTTCAGGTGCTTAGGAAGAACACCCAACATGCACTATTATGGAGGTGTCCTCCCATCTTCACACAGAGAGGTAACATATCAGATTAAGGATATGACTGTGACCAGGATAAACAGTGTATGAAACAAGCCAAAACCCCAGCCAGACATCACGGCTGGTAACTTCAAAATGTTACCAGTCCAAAATGGATTTAACCAGACCAGACTCTGGATGTGACTCAGATGTATAACATCTAAATTTTTACTAGACCATCAGGCTGGCTAGCTGTAAAGCTAGACCGTACATCTGAAATCTAACCAATCTCGGGTGGTCGGACGGGCCTTATATCATACACTGTTACAAGTGAATAGTATGGATTTTCATTATCTAAATTATGTGACTCCATCTAGAAGACACTGACTTACGGTTCATCACTGAAGAGTCCAGCCAGGAGAAGCTCCAGCCATGCCTCCCGCCACACAGTCAGCTGATTCTCCTTCTCACAGACATTCCTGTAACCATCAGACGAAAGTAAACATGATGAATGAATGATTGTCTCCCCCTTCTGGCGGTACATGTGAATTCTTGTATCGCTGTATTGATTATAAAAGCAGTTGTAATACCTTTGGCTTATTTAACATCAAAAGACAAAGGTCATCAGCCTTTCATGTGAACATTCTAAGCGTCTGCTTGATATTTATCATTCCTGCTGTAACAGTGTTAATTCTCTCAAACAATCTTGGTTCAAAAAGGGAAAAAATAGTATGGTACAATGATCAATACACATTTGAAAATTTATTCAGATAAAGTTTTGTGTACATGTATATACATATACCAAATAAGAAGTATGTAATTCTTATGAAAAAATTGATATTTTATACTTATCCTGACTCATGCTATATTGAGAGAGTGAGGAGAGCTTGGCTCAAGTCACATGGGTCAGGTCTTTGCGGGAAAGTGGGACTCCCGATGGGTGAGTGAATTTTGACTATTCTTGGGAACAAAGGGATTGAAGATTCCACGTAACTGTCAAAAGGACGGGACATAAGCAATATACCATGAGTCAGGATAAGGAAAAATAATATTAATTCATCCATTTAGAACTTGAGTTATGCAATATTTCTTAAAATCCATATTGTTTTCACCCTGATTCTTAGTCAATATTTTCTATTAAAAACCATGGGAACTATGGAGAAAACACAGAAGTAAACAGGTCTGTACACGTATAATCTGAAACACATTCCACATCTTCTGACAAGTACCTTATTTGTTGCAAACTGCTCTTGTAAACATCCGAAGCAGGGGGTGAAAGGTCATTGGTTGACATACACTGCAGGAGATGTCCTTTCAGGCAAGCATTAGCAAACAGCTGGATGGTGAAACATGTCATTAGTAAGACTACATCTTACAACCCAACATTTCACGCCATTATGTTTTGTTAAGTTTTTACATCTTCCTAACCAACACTTCACAAAAGTGGAGTAAAATAATGACACCAGGAAAAGTCAACCACTTAATTTGTTTCTAATAAAATAATGGAAACTCACAAGCTTACTATCACTATATGCCAGCACTTGAGTAAGTAAATTTAGTTATACAAAGCTTGTAGCAATATTCCAGCAATATCACAGCGGGGGACACCAGAAATGAGTTTCACACATTGTACCCATGTGGGGAATCAAACCCGGGTCTTCGGTGTGACGAACAAACGCTTAATCCACAAGGCTACCCCACCGCTCCCACCAGCACTTAGATTAGTAAGAATCTGTCAAATGAGGTGAGGTGAGGTGAAATTGGGTTTAACGTCGAGCTTGAGAGTATTTCGCTCATATGACAACGTGCATGCATGCATGTATGTGTATGTGCGGCTGCTTGTACTAGCCCAGACTGAAGCTGGTTTTATAGTGCTAGCCCACTGAGATACCATGCCGCAGTGAAGCATGAATACCCCACTCAGACACATTATACTGACTCCGAGCCGACCAGTCCTTCTAGTACCCATTAATGCCGAGCGCCAGGCAGGGACCAACAAGTACCATATTTTAACGTCTTTTGGTATGACGCGGTCGGGGATCGAACCCGCAACCTTCCGCTCTCCGGGCGGACGATCTAACCACTACACCACGGAGGCAGTCAACCAAATAAGACAGACATTTCAGTGATTACCTTGCTGATGTCTGTATAGGGCAGGATCAGCCCCAGCAGCTTGTACTTCCCCCTCGCATACCATGGGATATCCAGGAGTCGAGACAGAAGTTCCTCACTGAGTCTGTCATTGTCTGTATGTCTGTCCGCCCTCTCCCAGCTCCACACAGACAACACTGCCTGGAATATCTCACACACAAAGGCTGCAACGCCATCTACAGGACTGTCCCAGTTAAGAAAGACAAGCTTCAGGGTTTCCTCGAGATAGAATGAATCTTTAGATGTAAAACCAACTGTTTCATGGTTTGAGTGTATTGTTGGCAGGCACTTGTGTAAGCTCTTGAACCAGACGGACAGAATTTGAAAGGCATGATACTGGTTTGAAGTCTGGTCACCACAAAACCTCAATACTCTTGGAAACAGTGTCAACAAGAGTTGGTTGTCCCTGAGTGGTACCTGACACGAGTTATCTCCCCTGTCAGGTAAACCAGGAAGGACGTTTGTACTGAGAGTCAGGACGTCTAGACGACAACACATGACAACAGCTTTGATGAGCGCCAACTCAGAAAATCTGTTGCAATCCTGTCCATCCCTCTTCACAATATTCATCTTGAGGTGTCCGAGATGGCAGCATCCACAACCGTCCGCAATGACCCTGAACACCTGCCTCAGGCTCTCAACTGTGGCGTGTGGATCTGGTGCCTGGTTCAACAACATGGCCACAGTTGTCCCGGCGAACAGATAGATGTCTGCAGCAAAGCCCTGCAACATCAGCAACATCAGGGGATGAATAACAAAAGTCAACAACATTCAAATCTGGACCAGGAAAACCACAAATTATGACATCAAGCAATCAATGCTCCTGTGCACATTAAACAGCAAGTTGAGTGACAACAATTTCACTGGATATATTAAGCCCATTCCTGACAGGAAAAATGTCAGAATATTTGTAGAAAGTATTTATATATCCTAAAGTATTTTCATCACCAGTGTTGCAGTTTTATTAACTTGCCCTTCAATTCTGATTCCAGCTTTAATCTATCGTTACAAGCACATGTACTGCCTTCGACCATGTAACAAAAGTGAGTTAATGATGTTTAGTGCTAATTTCAGTAATGTATCGGATCGACCTGTAATAGTGGCTCATGGGCCAGACACACTTACACTGCAGGTTAGAACTGTTACAAGGTTCTGAAATAGGAGTGAGACATGTTCTGTGAGACGTTCAGCAGTGACGTCATGGCCCAGCCACACGACACGATGCAGATCCTCACTGAAGTGGTGTAACACCTGCAGGCTGATCTGCAACAACAGAAAACATAGGTGTCCTTCTGTACAAACAGGTGGGTGATGGGGAAGTGGTGGAGTGAGATTGTGTCATGTTCAACATTACTGCACTAATAAACAAACTGTACCGTATATTACCGTAGATATGGCGACCCCCTAACTTGACCCTTGAAATCAGTGTCAAAGTGGTATGTTTTGCACATAAGCCGACCCCCCACGAACCAACTGAACCAACATCTGGCAGTTGGATGTAAAAGCGCACAAGCTGACCCCATGACCAGCCACACCACAAGACATCTGGCAGTTGGATGTAAAAGCGCATAACACCACAAGACATCTGGCAGTTGGATGTAAAAGCGTACACAAGCCGCGACCCTCACACCACAATACATCTGGCAGTTGGATGTAAAGCCACAAACTCACCACCACAGTTGGATAAAAGCATCTGGCAGTTGGATGTAAAAGCGTGCCGATGTCAAACGTTGGATGTAAAAGCGTGTTTTTGGTGAAAATGGTATCTAATAAAGATCATACTGACCATTATTCTAGAAACCCGTGTTTGTTTTCTTTTTTATATCCCAACGATCACTGTTTGAATGTATCAACAACGAGACGCCATTTTGTGAAGTCGGTGCATATGGAAATATGAACCCATGAGAAAACGTACCCACGGTAAATTAAAATGAAGTCATTTTTCATTTAAATCATTATATTATTGTTTCTCTGTGTGTGTGTGTGTGTGTGTGTGTGTGTGCAGCTGCTTACATCACTCTGGACAAATGTCGGTTTTATAGTGCAGACACCAAGCCGAAGAGTATAGTGCAAAACCACTTATAAGGTGATCCCCCACTACAAGCCTTCAGAAACAACATTATTCTAATTCTATAAAGCGATGTGGAATGAAGCGCTTCACCACGCTTACAGAATCATTACATTTGCAATACAAACATGTTTGCCTTCATTGTTGTTTTCTATGATGCCTTGTCATATAAATACTTTGTATCAATTCTAAAAAGTATTTTTGAGAAAATTTTGCAATAACCCCCATCTTGTAAGTACAACAGACTGGGTGATGATTCTAGTGTTGCAGAAAGTATCGACAGTAGTTAGGCCAAGGCATACTATGTCCCTCCAAAATACACAATTACCTTGCCAACAGTGTACATTGTAGCAGCTCCTTGTGGTTGAGACTCTTCATGGAGGATACTGTCTATGGTTGTATGCAAGCAACAACACAAGTCTTGGAGATGCCTGTGAATTATCTCCCTTGCCACCTTACTCTGCTCCAAAACACAGCTAACTGAAACAGGTATTATTGTAGAAAATCAAATCTATGTTTATTTATAAATTGATTAAAATATTACAACATTATGTATTAGGACTGTGTATTTGCGAAGAAATTGTGTTGCAATTATATTGCAATATTACAAAGACTAACACCGATTGTTCATGCAGATCCTATTTGCTACATTGAGTGAGTGAGTATAGTTTAACGCCACTTTTAGCAATATTCCAGGAATATCAGGGCCGGGGACACCAGAACTGGGCTTCACACATTGTATCCATGTGGGTACCAAACCAGATCTTCAAAGTAACGAGCAAACACTCTAACCGCTAGGCTACCCCACTGCCCCCCTATATGTATTGAAGTATGTATACATTATGCGACATAGTCAGTCACTGCCATTTTATGTCAAGGACACAGGGGAGGTAACAACATGAGAGAATATTCACCTCTCTGCTTCTCCAATCTATTTTAAAGGGAAGGGAAGCATCATTTGTGACTAAATTACTGTGTAGATTTGAAGTCAATGACAATTAATAACAAAACTTACAATTATTTTTCACCTACATACCAGAAGATGGAAACCAAATTGCAATATGTACAGTTTGAAAAGGTCTTGCAGTATATAGTGATGTCCTAATATATCTGGTCACTTTCTGTCTTCTGCTCCAGGAGCAGTCAGTTGATCTTTTGTTTCGTTTTTTCAATGCCGCACTCAGCAATTTTTCCAGCTATATGATGGCGATGTAGAAATAATGGAGTCTGGACCAGTCAGCACATTTCAGTACATCCCCCCACACTGTGTAATATGGTTACAGATCAGATCAATTACTCTTTGTTATTAAGTATGAGTAATTACTTCAACAGATTTCAAAGAGGTTCATCACAGAGATGCCAACCCTGAATCTAAGAAAAACAGAGTCATGACTGAAAGCCAGCCCTGAGCACCAAAGGTGAGAGTTGGGGGTGAGCGTGTGTTCGGCTCTGCCATTTTGTTTCACTTTCCTACGGACTATGACATGCATTTGGAAAAAATTTGTGAAATTTCATCGTCAATTACATGCAATATACACAATCGACACCCAAAGGATAAGACACTAAGCTTCTGAATGCTTTTACCAGTGTCCACTCAAATAAATCACTGGTGAGTTACGAAATTGTATACCGTAAAATAAATTCAGAATATTTTCCAGAGATATCGGAGAGCAGATTTTGTATTTGAAAATTGGAGTAACTCCGCCAAAATCAGAGTGGTTGGCATCTCTGTAATCATCCAAACTTCACCTCCTATACAGTCATTTTGGACAACCAATACTCATCTGATCCTTAGACTAAAAGTGCAGCATAGAAAAATCATTACTGTTGCTAAAAACATCTAATCCCCATTATGTCAGCTCTTTTTTCAAATCAAAGTTTACCTGTCCTGACCGAAGCATTATTACAAGTAAAAGTGTCATTAAGAATGCTTCAACAAGGACTGTGTGCAGTGTTTACATTTAATAAATATGTTCAGTTGTCAACAATATGTCTGTAAACAAAGTATGTTTGTGTATTAAGCAGGAGAGTTAGTGACCAGGTGTTGAAGTCTCCCCCCTCTGTGGGGGCATTACATCACACTAATACACCAACATCTCAGATGAGAGTCACACGGTCACCCAACTGTGTCGTAATCCTGTAAGCAGCCATAGCTGTATTATGTAGTGGGGACAAAGTCTCCCTTGGAATCCCCCTTGGGGTCAGATAAGGGCAGGGATTTAAGGATTACTGTAACAATCATCAATACTAACAGTAGAACAGTGCTGACAAACACAGATACATAATCTGGACAAATCTGGAATTTAAACCAGTTATCAGTTTTCTAGTGCACCAAGGGGACACAACTCTGTACAGATAAAGAAGAACTCAACCACCAAATCATTACTGTAGAATCAGTTTCAAGAGTGAGTGAGTGACTTTAGTTTTACGCCACACTCAGCCATATTCCAGCTATATGGTGGTGGTCTGTAAATATTTGAGTCTGGACCAGACAATCCAGTGATCAACAGCATGAGCATCGATCTGAAAATTATGTTGTCACCAAACTCGACTTGGCCCTGCGCCTTCCCTAGATAAAGCTTGGAGTTGAATATAAGGAAAGTCCAGGTAACGGTTCTTGAGATAGCTTAACATGCAGGTTTACATGTTGAAATCTTCAAAGTGTCGCCAAGACCTTGAAAATGAAGTGAAGGTCACTAAAATTAACTTGGCCCTGCGCTTTCCCTAGATAAAGCTTTGTATTGAATATGAAGAAAATCCAGTGAAAGGTTCTTGAGATAGCTTAACATGCAGGTAAAACGTTAAAGTCCCCTTGAGACCTTGAAATGGAGGTCAAGGTCACCAAACCTGACTTAGACCTTTCTTATACTGTGATGAACCTAGGTACCAATTATGAAAAAAAATCTAGTAAACGGTTCTTAAGATATTCCAATTCGTACGTACAGATGAATGCGCGCTAAACGTGCGGCGGGGGATAACAAAATAACAAACAATAAACAAGAACTGTACCTTTGTGTAGTAAATCTCTGTCTGTGAGCAGTTCTTGTACTTTGACAGTCATCTGAGATTCCACTATTGGTGCCTTGGAAGGAGGAACACTGCTCAGAACCTTTTGTGAAAAACAATACAATCTATCTGCTGTGTCATAGGCAAGAGAGTTGGTTTAGCTCAACTATACTACCACCACCAGTGTTTTACTTCTATGACTGGCTCAGCTTAATGTCAATAGAAATTACAGTGAACCAGACTGAAAGCATCTGCTGCAAGCTCTAGCATCTTTTTGACAAAATAAAGTTCATAATCAGCCATATCTGAGTCAAAATCAACCATCAGTTGATTATTACAGTAAAGACAAACTCTGCAAAATGTGTTTTAAAACCTTCAAATTCAAGGTTACTGGTGGCTGTCAACATAATTAGGCAGTTATACAAACCAGACCTCAATTTAAGAGATGTTAACATACTTGCACCATGTGCAACCTAAGATAAAAACCTAGTTGCACCAGATAAATTCCATTTGCACTGCTTTTATTGCCATTTGTAATTAAAGAAATATGCTATTGAATTATTTTGATGTATTATTTAGAAGTTTACACACTAAAAACTTGACATGCACCTGGTGCAAGTTAGACTAATAACTAGGTTGCACTTCGTAATATTGGGTTGCACCAGTGCAAGTAACAAAACACAAAATCGAGCCCTGCAAACTCATCCCCTCAAACAACTTAAACTGATAATTTGAATATTATAAATTACTTTGGACTTGCAATAATACAAAATCACCTAATTTTCACATCTGTTTTGACAAAATGGAAATATAATCAAACTCACAGTGTATAAATGCAATGGCAACAAATGCGACACAGAAATGTGACATATAGGAAATATGTGATAAGTCATGCCTTTTCAATCTGTCTGGACATTTTGGAGCATCCCAGACATTTGAAGAAGGTGTCCACAAGATCAGTGACTAGTTGACCCCCTTCAGGACCAGGCTGCTGCAGCGAAGCACCCAAAGTCTCCAGCCTGGACACCAGCGTAGGAAGATGACCACGCCCATGTTCACTGAACACACACAATGTTCACATTAACAAACCAAGATATACTTCTCAAAATGAATATTTAATTTTTAGGAGCAGTTTTACTCTTAACCAATAGCAATACTATTACTTGCATACTATAACTTTAAGGTCACATGCAACGTAACACACAACTTTGCAGATTCTGATACCTTTCGGTATGGACTTAACGAAACAAATCATCAAATATGCAAATACAACTTATAAAGTTGAAAAATAATGCGATGAGTTCAAACGATTCACTAATTTTCCCCCAGGGCTTGGGGTAAAAGTGGTTTCAACAGCTGGGCTGCGCTCATAGCACATGTGCAGTGAAATAGGTTCGCGCAGCTTGTAAGCGGGTTGTCTGGTGAATACTCGGTGAAGGCTTTGGAGTGAGCTATTTTTCTAATGTTTTGTTGATATTTCACAGGCGCGAGCTTCTTATATGTTATGACAGTAGATTACCGATTTAACTGTTTATATCATTTCATTTGTCTATTTCACCACACGTTCTTACCGAGTAACTTTCTCAGTTCGATACTTAAAAGCAATGTCATTATTTAGCGTTGACAGAATTTCTACCTGTGATATAGATATGTAGTTGTCACGGAATCAATGTCTTGTTTTATTGACAACTGTGTCTGCCTGCCTGTCTGCTAATGACAATATTCAATACACAACTTCGATCACTGACCACATGCAATTTGAACACCTATCAGGCTATACACCATAAACAAAACGCATTGATTTATGGCCCGAGTTCGGTCTCTGTCACATTATGTAATTACACAGACAGGCAGGTGTGATACTGGTACACATGACATGTTATGATGTCTGTTGATTGCAAAATGTTCTACACAAAAATGAGCATGTATTTACAAAACCCAACATCTCTATATATACACACACAATGAGCCATGAGGGCATCTGCAAATGAACCAGCCGTTACACTTGAGTGCACACCAACCGCTGACTGGGTTCGGTATCCCGGCTGCTTCATTTCTAGGGAAGTAAACCCAAGTACAAAATATTGCACTATTGATTTGCGATTGTGCACTTATAATTTCGTTTGTTTTTTCATAATCAGCAATGTATATGATATGTCATGAATAAGTGATAATTGTGTTTTAATTAAGTTTGATTTTTTGGTTGCATGTAACCTTTAATTAATCCATGAAGAACCAGGTTAGAACTGGTCTTCTGCAACCACTGCTTGTCGTAGGAGGTGACTAAAGGGATTGAATGGTCAGGCTTGGTTGATGCATGTCATTGTATCGTATGAGCAGGAGACATAGTCCGTTTGGCTCAAAAGCAATTGCAATCTAACTCAAAAACTAATAACCATAAAATACTCAATGAAACACTGATCATAATGAAAACGTCAGACCAACTCTGAGAGGTGTTTTTTGCGAATTTATGTCCTAAAATTAAAAAAGTTGTTTAACAAACTATCATTAAAATACGACACAGTTCACTATTTGTTACGAGGGAGGAGTGCAGAGAAAGGGACAGCCGGGTGTGCGAGAAAGAATGGAGACAGCACAGCACAGGTTAATGAATCAATAACTTTGTCGGCACTTGTGCACGTGCTTCTCTAACACCTGTCTGTCCCTTTCTCTTTAACCCCTAGGCTACCCCACTGCCCCTGTATTGGTTAAATAAGCGATGATTATTAAATATTGTCACCATATATACAGCGTTTCAAATTCCCACCTGCCCGACCATCCAGAATGGTCTATTTTCATCTCGGGCAGTCAAATTTCAAAAGCAGCCTGTCCAGTGGTCTGGTAGATGTTTTTACCCCTAACAGTAAATATTTCATAATATCAGACAGGTTCTCTTGTCGTCAGTTTGAGGTGTTTAAGGTATTATGATAATTATGTTAAACTATTTACGACTGGACAGTTCATTTTACAATAACAAATCACAACACATGTACTTCAGTTTACCTAAACTCGGTGCATTGCCTGTTAGTGGTATATTGTTCAAATCCAGGACAAAATCCACCCGTACAAAATCCACCCCAAAATTGCAACCTAGGACAAAATCCACCCGGACAAAATCCACCCCGGACAAAATCCACCCCTTATAAAATCCACCCTAAGAAAAAACAACTAATGACATGTTTAGTCACAGAAATGAATTTTATTCATATCAGTCATTCATAATTGATAACAAAAACAACCAAAATACATATGTAAGCACATTTTGTAAGCACATTTTTGCATATATAAATATGACAATTGCACATTTTCACATTTCACATTTATGACTCATTCATGCATCAATACATATATAAATATGACAACAGCATATATTTTCACACATTCAGACATATCTATGACTAAACATCTTGCCACATTTCAAAAACACAAACAACGGCCGATGCCGTGGAGAAAGTCCTCGAGTGTCTTTGTCCCTCGCTGCGTAGGTCTTGCACAGACCTTCAAGGCGTTCTTGGAGACGTTTGGTGGTTGTTCTGGTTCTTTTCTTAGGGGGCTGACCTCTTCCGGACCTGTAGATGGCTGTACACGCAAGACCGTTGTCTTTTTTCAGACAGTCGATGAGTCTCCACACAGTAGGGTGGGAATGTCCTATCAGTTTCTTAAACGCGTGGTTCCAACCTTCGCACACATTGTTTGATCAAAGTGTGAGACTACTTAATGATACATGAAAGAGGATTAAGTAGTGATCAAAATGTGACAAATGGAGAAACCTTTAATGTTTGAAACAACATCTAGGAACATCAGCCAATTAGGAAAACGTAAATGCTATCAAAACAATGCTTGAGAAAAGCAAAACAACTTGATCAAAGATCAGGACACACTAAAACTTTTAACAATTGCAATTTGAGAAGGGTGGATTTTGTCCATTTTTCTGTTAAGAAGAGGTGGATTTTGTCCGGGGTGGCAATTTTGGGGTGGTTTTTGTCCGGGTGGATTTGCGATGCCTACAAACAGTAAAGTATTCAGAAACCTGATGTTTTAGTTTGTTTTTAATTGTTGAAAACCGGACAGGCAAGTTTGTATCGGGACTGGTTACCAGTCTGGCTGTCTGGCTTCGAATTTTGGGTGTTTTAAACACTGATATATATGTTCATAAATAACCACTTTAATAAAAGAGAACATAGTGTAATTACCTAAACAAACACAGGTCCTTCAGCAGAGATCCACACATCTTGTCAGTGAACGTTCTGAAAAGTGAGTGAAAAATTGTCTAGGTCTTTTGTGTGTAAATACTAGCTTTGTTGGACTCAGGTAGGTATAACTCATGTGATGGGGATGCTGATTGACTAAATACACATTCAGACACCCTAAATGTGTGATTTATGGAACAAAGCATGTAATACACAAGGCAGCTTTAGTCTGTTGTTAATTGAGACTCATAAAGTAAGTCAAGTCTTTACTAAAGGAGACATGACAGTCATATACTGACAGTGCTGAGGCTTTATACGTGAAATAGTGGTGTTACAAAGGATATTGTTTAGGAACTTTACATTTTACATTGACCCCAAGATCATTTAACCGAAATATATTCGGTAATTCCAGTTGTCAGAATCACTCTAGCTGTACGTACTACAATATATGTTCCTATTTTGTCTTCCTGACTGACCGTAACTGGTTGTCACAAATTGATTGACAAGAAGCATTTACATGTGTCACTAATTTATATAAAGGCATCAAGCCGCAATGGCTACTTCACCTCCAGCCTGATCAGTTTTTAATGTTATTGAAAATATTTGTTTTCATAATTTGTGCAGACAAGATGGGCATCTAGTTATTTCACATTCTTGTGCCCTAGCTTTATGTCAGTTATGTATGTGACATCAACTGAAAGCCGATACTATCTTCTGATGTTAATAAAAATGTGACTTTTGCTCACACTGATTATCGGTGTCTTGAAACCATCTTTATCGCATGTTTTCAAAGCAGAAAAGTAACATGAATACAACAACTATCGATGACACGCACATGTTGACCTCAACCGGGTCACGGCCACAGCGCCCTCTAGAGGATACTCTCAAAACCGAAATGTTACCCGTTAAAATAAAACAATGTAAGTTTGAATTACTCCTTCTTTAAATTATGAACTACTGAAAATCGAAACTAAACAAATGTACGACTATACATGATCCAAATAAATATATTACGACTGTCAATCAAGTTTGGAAACAATCTAGGTTCGAGGGTATTACTTTGGTTCATGAAAGCAAGAAATCTACAAAAGAACTTTGGAATGTAAGGTATTCGCCTGTATATTCGCTAAACCAAGGTTTGTTTTTAAAAATGGACAGTACAGTATGGAAGATAAAGCACTCATGATGAAATGTATGATAGGTAAGTGACGAGTTTCGCATTGTTTCTTCTTTAGACAGCAGTTTTACCAGGAGGTTCGCGTCTCTGGGATGGGAAGGGCAGTAATGAAATCTTTGATGCGCGTCAGAGCGTACAAGTTCTGCTAAATCTTGACATATTAACGTTTTGCAAGTGTTGTAGTGTATGCTAATGTCATATTACTTTTCACTTTCATATGAAGCAAGTACATATGGCGTCGTATTATTGTTAAAGATGGTAAAACATGTCAAAATACGCTATCGAATACCATTGTACAAAAGTTCTCCCAAGTATGCCGAATTCAGGTGGACACTGTTTAGGCCTGGATCTTCCTGTCTCTCAACTTCATAGGTATTGATAACAAATAACCTGGATGAGCTATATAGTAAAAATGCCCGAACACAGCTCTGTATGTATTCAAATGTATAGAATGTTGTTATTGTCAAAATGAATTATTGGTCATGGATGCGTTTTTATAAATGTAAACTACTGGTTGATGGAAATTAATGTCAGTAATTTAATGTGTTACTGCTAATGCAATCAGATTCTGGTATCAGTTTTCATAACAAACAAAACTGATTTGTATGAGATTTGGATTATTGTATACAGCAAATGACATTAGCATCCAGGCATATTTAAGCTCTCTGTGTAAATCCACAACTTTAACCATTAATGCCTTAGTGGAGTTTGGCTCTAATAAAAAAAAAAAAAATAAAAATTTTGTGTCATGAAATCAAAATATAACTTATGATAACATAATTCCTCTGTTATTTATTTGTTGTTGGTTTATTTCATATTGCATCAGTGGGTCAAATTAAAAGTGATATTCAGATACCAAGGTTCGCCCTGACATGCAAATCCTACATCAAAGATGATGCAAATAATGACTCAAATTTCAGAAATATATACCATGCCATCATGATTCCGTGGTACTTACGTTTCCGTGGTATTTTCTAATGACATAATTTCTCACGAGCCACTCGCCAAATTGTGCCACCTATCGAATGTTTACATTCATCAGTTGATCGGCGCGGGTCTGAAAAAAAAATGTGCTGATTTTCATCAATTTGCGTACGTACAGTCATCTACTATTAAAAACTAATGCAACTTTATGTCTAGGACGTAATGCATTTTTTGCGCGATCTTTGCAAAACTTTTCACTTTTCATTTCACGTATCCCGTATCAACTCTACATATTTTATGAACTGGAAATTTATGCTGAAGAAATGTGACTATTGTGTTAATTCTACATAATCGTTTACTGTATTACAATTTATCAACTTCGATATTACTGTAAACCTACATTGACAATTCCCGGATTGGCTGTTGACAACGTGTGTGAGATTGTGACATGTGTTGTGCGCCCGTAATTTGATCTGAAGGAAATACCACGGAAACATATGACGTCACCAGAGTTTGTGCACAATGGCCGCCAGTTGTCCGATACAGACAACAATGAACTTCAGAATGTCAAAAGTGATTTATTGACATTAAATGATACAAAGGTATGTCGTCTAACACTATATTATGTTTATATGACTTGGCAATATGAGCGATCATATTCATAGTCGTAAATTTCTTAATACCACGGAAACCCATGATGCGAGGGTACTTATAAACTGTTAAGGTGTTAGAAATTTTTCATTTGACGAAATCATTTTGTTATTAAACACCATGGAAACGAAAGTTAGGTATCGATGTCGATGATCAGGTAATTCCGTTTTGGCTAAATGCAGATACAGTCGTCAGATAGCACAGCCAATCAGCTCATTGCTGCCAAGAAGGGCAGTGTAATTAAACGAATGTCCTAATGTACTCATGGCACACTAGTCTCGATGTCCGAAAAAAATAACTAGTCAGGGTGGGAATCGTTTCTCAGTGTTACGAAAAGAACTGCGAAAAACTCAGATGTCAACAAATTTAAGTAATCATGATTGATAATGCCAACAAAGGTGTCGGTGACAATGAAAATGTGAGTAAGAAGCCAAGACTGCTGTACTTTTCTGATGCTACAGTTTGAGGGGCATGACGTGTGCCATTTGTACTAATCATAGAATGCAAAATCCATTTGCAACAAGCCCAAGATTAAAAAATATTCAAAGTACTAATGTGAACCACAGATGAAGAATCAAAAGGCCATGTCAAGGCAATTGAAATTTCAGAAAGTCTCATTATTGTTCGACCTCTATATTATTTCCTGAATTGGGTATTAAATAGCTGCATATAACAATATTTATTCAATCCAGTTTCATATACAAAGTTACATGCATTAACAGTTTTAAATGTTTAAAACAATATTATATGACTATCAAATAAGTTTGACTTCTAAAACTAATTATGAGATGAATGATAAATAGATGTCAAAGGCTAACTCTGAGATATCAAGATTTTCATAACCTATGATTACTGCTGTTACCTTCTTGGCATTGATTATTCCTCAAAGACATAATGAATCAAATTTTGTGGTGCAGAGAGTCTGACACTCCATCGTGTAACAATTAATAGCATTTACATCAGTAATAAAAGTTACTATTTTAATATCAACCATATTCTCTTAATTTTTAGTTGAGTTTGCAAAAATTAACAGAAGGAGGGACAAAATTCATGAGTTAATTTTGAACTAATTGTTGCAGAGTGCAGTATCCTGAAATTTATCAATTTATTGTACACAAAACAAGCATGAAAGGTGACAGAAGATGAGCATGATATGGGAATCTCAAAGTTTGTTTCCAACATATGTATTTGATATTCTGTTTTGTGTAACATTACATTGAAACATTACAGAGTATCATCTTGTTGAGGTTATGTTGTATTTAAGGGGCAAATCCCAATGGAATAGCCTTGTGGTTAAAGAGTTTGCTTAAGGTCTGGGTTTGATGCTTCACCATGTTCACATGGGTAAAACGAGTGATACCTATTTCTAGTGACCCTGATGTTGCTTGAATATTGCTATAAACTACATTAAACCATACTAACCAACTGTGAGTGTTGCAAGTAACATCTTCACAAATAGGAAATGCATCCATGATATAAGGCCAAAAACCCCAATGTGTGTGTTCAGGGTAACATGAAATTATAAAACAGGGTCGGTAGGTAGGGTTTATCTTTTTTTTTCTTACATTTTTTTTTAAAATGCACTCGCATATTTTTCATAAAATCACATATTTATGTAATGTCAGGCACCAGTTTTGAAAGAAAAGAAGGGAAACCAGTTTAAAATTTTAATCACTGAAGCAACAACACTTTCTAAATTCGACATTTATGAAAAACAAGAGTAAGTGAGCACAGGTCACATATGGTCGCCCCCAACATTGGGGAGGACATACTGTTGGAATAGCAAAATGTTTCGCTGTCTTTTAATAAAACAAGAAAAAAAGTTTAGGGTTAGGAAGTTTGTGATGTTGGAATAGCAAAATGTTTTGCTGTCTTACATGCTTAATAATTTTAAAATTTTATCGAAAATTTTTATGCTATATCCATCTCCGCCAAAGTTTGATAGTAAAACGTAAAATATACCAGACCGGCTCTGATAAATAGTTTAGCTTTTGTGATTGGCTAGAGACTATTTTGATGGACCAGTCAGCTTAACGCAAGACGCGTTAAGTTAATGCTATGAAAAGGCGCGATAATTATGTATCGCAATAAACGTGTCGCGATTTTATACGTTTTCGGCCTGTGTATCGCGACACCCCTAGTAAACACACATTTTATTTTTTGGGCCTGATGTACCTTAAAGAATGATGTCAGTTAGTATGATGGGGTAATCATGGTAGTGGGAACGAATAGCTCGTATTTTGACACTTGCTTATCTTGACACCCTGTAGTGCCAGGTTTCAGTTTTTGTGGGTCATGGATATGCAGTGAAGATTTCCTTATTTGTTGAATACCTTCATGATATGAGGATCAAGTTAGGTCTGATGGTTACTGCAGAGTATAGTTATTCTTTGTAATTACATATGATAGTTTCATGGTGAAATGAACTGGTTGCAGTTAGGGGTGTCGCGATACGTGAATGTATCGATGCATCGATACATTTTTACTGACGATACGATACGCGATACATGCTTGCGTGTATCGATTCCTATTTTAAAACTTTATCGATTCAAATTTTTATGCTATATCCATCTCCTTCAAAGTCTTGATAGTAAAATTATACGAGACCGCTCCGATAAATAGATGTAGCTAGCTTTACTTAAAAAATAGGTTGGAAACTAACAGCTTTTGTGATTGGCTAGACTATTTTGATGGACCGATCAGCGAGCGCGTACGTTGCCGGTAAGGTAATGCTATGAAAAGGCGCGAAAATTATGTATCGCGATATCGTATCGTATCGTGACCTTAAAATCGTGATACGTATTGTATCGTGAGATTGGTGTATTGTGACACCCCTAGTTGCAGTACAGCTCTTTGGTTCAGCCATGAGGAAGTCGCAATGAGGTACAGGACATTTAAATATAGTAATGATTTCCTGTGTTCTTGAACCTCAAGTCTTGTGACTGCTAGATGGGATCAAAGGATAGTTTGTGTTAATGACGACATCCTATATTGCCAAATGAATGATAATATACACTGTGGATGGGTTGGGTATTGGGATGTTGCAAGGATAGGAATGTGGAAAGTCCTCAGTGTTTGCAAATATTATTTTTTACTTTCAATTAACATATTTCAGTGTAGAATTTGTAAAGAAATATGACATATGTGTGGAATGAAGTTTTATTGATCATAAAAGTTTTATTGCCATATTAATATTCATTGACAGTGCATGTTTTACATATGTGTACATTGTTATTGCGGCAGGTGGAAGTTACAACACCACTAGATTTACTGGAAAAAGTTTGATATCCCAGAAGACGGGGTTAGTTTTCAATTTCAAGTAGTGTTTGTATAGTGTTTCTGAAATGAAGTAACTTGTCAGAAGACAGGTTTATTTTTCAACAAGTATGTTTGTGTATTTTTTCTTTAATGATGTCTATTGTTATTTACCAGGGCCCAGCTAGAGGCCC